GTTCATCAGCATTCCTTTCGGGACTAAACAGAACAGCAATATCTTCTATAGCCATCATTGTCATATAGTGTTTCAGTTTTATCAATAAAACGTTCTACTAAAACTTATAAATAACGGAAAAACGAAGGTATGATTTAAATCATCATCATTCTAAAGATGTTATAACATAAGATCCAAAGGAGTAAAAACTGACTTAAGAGAACCATGTTCAATGCATATTTTAGTCTTCAAACTAAATACTGTAATAATGTTCATTTCCCAAAATACTAGATGTAGTAATTGAATGGAAACTGTATAGATATAAAGTTTAAAAAATAAGTCTCATTTAGTACAAATGCTTGTTAATACGGTTGTAAATGTGACGAAAATTTTCAACTTGGCTATCATGTGTAAAATAATACAAGTGTTCGGTAAACAGGAAGTTGTTGAGTGATTAATCTAAAAACGCATCACACAGTGTAACTTAGGGGACGACCATTTGATATTCTGGGGGGGGGGGGGGGGGGGGGGGGGGGCAGGAGGATTTGTTTTGGATCGGTTATTTATTTTTGTAAACTAAGAGGACAGATTATCTATTTTCTGCACTATTGAAGCAAGATTTTTCATTTTCATTAAAGTAGGGACTGATTATTTATTATCACAACTACATTTTTAATATTCGAAAACATACAATTTTTAGATTATTTGTTTATTATAAATAATTCATGTATAGTCAAGTCATTATGTACCATTTAATCAGAATTAATTATTATCCTCTGCAGAAATGAATCTTCTATAATTTCCCTAATGCATATACATGTATTGCATACATACACAGTATTAAAGTTTGGTTGTAACTAAGGCTCTTTTAAAAGTATTGGTAAACATGTTTCGCCAAGCGGAGCGTGGCAAACATGTTTCGCCAAGCGGAGCGAGGCAAAATTTTTTTTGAAGGGTTTTTGAACCGCTGAAGGCCCAAGAAGCTATAGAACAAATGATGCAAAATCATGCCTTCTGGGTGTTCCCCAGACCCTTTCTTAAACTGAAAATGCAAGTTCTGTTGTAATAATTTTATGACAATATTTTGGTCTCAATGCAAACTATCACGTTATAGATTCAGTGTAAGACTTAAGTTTCTAGGGACAACATCAAAAGACAAATATGCATGATAAAGCAAAAATGTAATTCACATAGTTAAGTCTGTGGCTGCTGTGTTTTTTTAAACTCATTATCAACTTAATAATAAAATTACTACATTACAAAATGAATGCAACACTAACAGAATACAGAAGGGCAATCAATGAACAAAAGACAAATAAATAAGAAACATTGATCCCGAAAAAACAGGGACTACGTCTGAGGGAGAACAGAACTTGCTTCTTGCAAGGCACTCACAATGAACACAATTTGATATGGAGACAAGCGTTTGGTTTTGAAATTTCCTACATGAGGCATTTGTCTCAATGTAGTTACGGCCCTGATTTAATAAAAGTGAGGTAAGTGTTCCTGAGACAATTAACCTCAAGTTAAATGAAACCAATTTTCTGACATTTCAAGTATATTTAAATAATATTTATACTTTTATTATTAAAAGATATGGGAAGTGTTTCCCGATTTTTTTTTCGGAAAAAAAATGAATTTAAGAAAGAATATGGTGCCATCTCATACTTTCGATTAGACCTGCTGAGTTATTTATTTTCAATACATTGCAAGTCAGGTAATTTATTTTCAAACTACCACAGAACAAACCATTTATTTTTGTGATTATCAAGGCTGAGTTATTTATTTTCAAAATCCTCCTCCCCCCCCCCCCCCCCCCCCCCCCCCCCCAGAATATCAAATGGTCGTCCCCTTACTTATATAAACCCTGAAACCAAATTTCATAAATCCTTGTCCAATAGTTCCTGAGAAAAATGTGACGAAAATTTTCAACTTGGCTATCATGTGTAAAACGATACAAGTGTTCGGTAAACAGGAAGTTGTTGAGTGATGAATCTGAAAACGCATCACACGGTGTAACTTACTTATATAAACCCTGAAACCATATTTCAGAAATCCTTGTCAAGTAGTTCCTGAGAAAAATTCGACGAAAATATTCATGGGACGGACGGACTGACGGATGGACAGACAGAGGTAAAACAGTATACGCCCCCTTTTTAAAAGCGGTATAAAATTAAAACTGTGAGCTACTACTCACTGATGATATACCCGCCGAAATATTTCGGTAAACAGGAAGTTGTTGAGTGATGAATCTGAAAACGCATCACACGGTATAGCTGACTTAAATAAACCCTGAATCCAAATTTCAGAAATCCTTGTCAAGTAGTTCCTGAGAAAAATGTGACGAAAATTTTCAACTTGGCTATCATGTGTAAAATAATACAAGTGTTCGGTAAACAGGAAGTTGTTGAGTGATGAATCTGAAAACGCATCACATGATGTAACTTACTTATATAAACCCTGAAACCAAATTTCATAAATCCTTGTCAAGTAGTTCCTGAGAAAAATGTGACGAAAATTTTCAACTTGGCTATCATGTGTAAAATAATACAAGTGTTCAGTAAACAAGAAGTTGTTGAGTGATAAATCTGAAAACGCATCACACGGTGTAACTTACTCTTATAAGCCCTGAAACCAAATTTCAGAAATCCTTGTTAAGTAGTTGCTGAGAAAAACACATGAAAAATGTGACGAAAATTTTCAACTTGGCTATCATGTGTAAAATAATACAAGTGTTCGGTAAACAGGAAGTTGTTGAGTGATGAATCTGAAAACGCATCAAACGGTGTAACTTACTTATATTAACCCTGAAACCAAATTTCAGAAATCCTTGTCAAGTAGTTCCTGAGAAAAATGCGACGAAAATATTCATGGGACGGACGGACTGACTGATGGACTGACGGATGGACTGACGGAGGGACAGACAGAGGTAAAACAGTATAACCCCCCCCCCCCCCTTTTTTTAAAGCGGGGGTATAATTATTTAAAAGGTATAACAGCTAAATTTTTAACCAACAGTCATGGCAGTATAAGCTACATATAAAAACTGAGGTCATAAGACATTTTTTTTCTAAATTTATAATATTAAGCTATATGTTCCATGTGTTCAGCCAGTTTTATTATTTTTTTTTTTTTTTTTTTTTCTTGTCATTACCACAGTAATTAAATTTGACAAACACATATTGTTTACCCGAGACATATCATATACATGTACATTTACAATGTACCTGAGACACTTTACCAGTAAGCTATTTAATCTTATCACTTAAATTTCCAATGACTAGTTTTTGAGTAATACCTTGTGTATCAATTAAGCAACAGGGGGTATAATGAAGAACATATACATGATATAGGGCCATCATGGTGGACATAGTTTTTATGGCCACCATTAATCAGAGAATGTCACAGGTAGTACGGTATTGTCGGGACTGATTGATATGATGATTTATTGATTAAAAGAAAATTAATACAGATTCTGTATTTTTCAGAATTTGCAAATAAGACATGTAGACATTTTCCAGCATTTTTAACTTTGAATTATTACTTGCCAATCAGACATGTGCACATTTTTTCAGCATTTTTAACTTTGAATTTTTACTTGCCAATCAGACATATGCACATTTTTTCAGCATTTTTAACTTTGAATTTTTACTTCCAATCAGACAGGTACACATTTTTCAGCATTTATAACTTTAAATTTTTACTTCCAATCAGACAGGTACACATTTTTCAGCATTTATAACTTTGAATTTTTACTTCCAATCAGACAGGTACACATTTTTCAGCATTTATAACTTTGAATTTTTACTTGCCAATCAGACATGTACACATCTTTCAGCATTTTTAACTTTGCATTTTTACTTGCCAATCAGACAGGTACACATCTTTCAGCATTTTTAACTTTGAATTTTTACTTGCCAATCAGACAGGTACACATTTTTCAGCATTTATAACTTTGAATTTTTACTTGCCAATCAGACAGGTACACATTTTTCAGCATTTATCATGTCTATAACTTTGAATTTTTACTTGCCAATCAGACAGGTTCACATTTTGCAGCATTTAAAACTTTAAATTATTACTTGCTAATTAGACAGGTACACATTTTTCAGCATTTTTAACCTTGAATATGTACTTGCGGCATTTAAAACTTTAAATTATTACTTGCTAATTAGACAGGTACACATTTTTCAGCATTTTTAACTTTGAATATGTACTTGCCAATCAGACAGGTACACATTAAGCCGCAATTATAACTTTGAATTTTTACTTCCAATCAGACAGGTACACATTTTTCAGCATTTTTAACTTTGAATTTTAACTTGCCAATCAGACAGGTACACATTTTTCAGCATTTTTAACTTTGAATTTTAACTTGCCAATCAGACAGGTACACATTTTTCAGCACTAATAACTTTGAATTTTTACTTGCCAATCAGACAGGTACACATTTTTCAGCACTAATAACTTTGAATTTTTACTTGCCAATCAGACAGGTTCACATTTTTCAGCATTTATAACTTTGAATTTTTACTTGCCAATCAGACAGTTGCACATTTTTCAGCATTTATATCTTTGAATTTTTACTTGCCAATCAGACAGTTGCACATTTTTCAGCATTTTTAACTTTGAATTTTATTACTTGCCAATCAGCTTTTTCTTTCCCGGTGATGACTTTCACTTGTCAAAGGCAATCGGACAGTCGTGAATGTTGAACACTGTAAGACTACAGCTTGTTAATGAATATTTGATTACAGAAAAATTCCCAAGCGTACTTTTTAAAGCTTTAGCACACTAGCTTACTGCCCAAGCACTCTGCTGAAATTAATAAACAAGAGAAAAGGGATAATTGATCCATGTAGGTTAATTACAGAAAAAATTGTCATTTAATGGAAAATTAATGAAAGTGGTATTTGAAGATCAAAGGATCCATCAAAATCACTTAAATAGGTGATAATGGAATCACTTGTTTTAGTCATACCCTTGACTGGTGAATAGTTGTCTCATTGATAAAAAAATAATCACATGTAATGCTTTAATTGGAACAAACAAACATCATTTATATAATTCAAGATCATCATTTCAAATGTTCCACCTTGAGAACTGAGATTAAACATATATGGTCGGTATTTTTGCCTGGTTAAGTAATTTACAATAAGTATATGTTTAATGATTAGAGAGCCTGTTATCACATCATGGTGCAACATCTTCATGAACACTGAAACACTGAAGTTACTCTCTGATAATGAAGCAACATAATTTCTCTGTAACTACTAAAATTAAACACTATGAAGTCTTTGGATGTTCTATCACAAGATGGCCTCCATCATACATTTGTCCTACCAATACCTGTTAACATAATGTACAATATTAAAATTCAACTTCAACATCCAAAAGAGTAAGTTCGATAAAGCCCTAAAATGGCCCCTAATTCTAGCTGAAATTTGAAATTAGGATTTATTGACCAATGTCACAAGGAATCATAGGTATTATGATGGCTAGGTTGGAAAAACGTCTTATTTGTTAAAGATTTATGTTTTTGCGTTCTATTCATGACGTCACAAATAGCACTCATTTTGATTTTCCATGAAAATTTGATGAAAACAGGGATATTTACGTTGATTTTTTGGAGAGGAAACATATAGCGCATGCGTCGACAACAAAGATATTTAAACCTTATGTTTGTTATGACATTTTAGATATCTGACTTGAATATTTTGTTTGTTGACGCCTGCGTTCTATGTTTCCTAGGTCTTAATTTGGTTGAAATCCGGATGATTTTGTCCAATTTCGCAAAAATCTCTACATTTGACCTATTTTGGATGTCAAAATCAATGCTTAAAAATAAAACTCTGGCAAAAATAGTTCTATATTACTTTCTCACATGTCTTTGCATCAACTTAAAACACATTTTATCCTGAAACATTGAACTTAATATTCGGGGCCAAATTTAGCCCTTACCAAACTTACTCCTTTATTAGTTATCCATTTAAATATTTGGTATATAAATGGTATAATCAAAGAGTTGAAAATCCAGGAAAGAGCTTCAGACGCATGAAACTAATAAAGTGTTGTTTTAATATTTTTCACATACAACTGTAATATCTTTATTGGTCATGTTTAAGCAGAAATTACAATTTCATATTTATATCTATCTTACATACTTATGTCCTTCAATATTTTTCAGATTTTGACATTTTGACTGAATGTGGATTCACATGTTAGGTGATGCATGCATTGAAGGAGATGCTTTTACCTTACTGACACAACAATTCTCACTCCTTTTGGAGTTCATGTGGTTCCCTTGGTTTACCTTACTGACACAACAATTCTCACTCCTTTTGGGAGTTCATGTGGTTCCCTTGGTTTACCTTACTGACACAACAATTCTCACTCCTTTTGGAGTTCATGTGGTTCCCTTGGTTTACCTTACTGACACAACAATTCTCACTCCTTTTGGAGTTCATGTGGTTCCCTTGGTTTACCTTACTGACACAACAATTCTCACTCCTTTTGGAGTTCATGTGGTTCCCTTGGTTTTCATCTGTTACCTTGGTTTGTCTTCTGAATAGACAAATGATATTTGAACATTAGTCAACTACTGTTGCCTTAATAAACATTGTACTGCACTGATATTGTTTAAAATCTAATTTGCTAATCTTATCAATCTAGATATTACCTGTCTCTGTATAATCTCAAGATCATCTTTGGCCTTTTTAAATAAATCTTTTAACTTTTGTGGATCTGTAACATCTTTATTTTGTCTAAATTCATCTCTTGTTTTTCTAATGGCATAATTTCTGAAACAGCACAAATCAAAACTTCAATTTTTAATGAAAACTTTTAAGACAAGGTTTTTGTTAAGGCATTATTTCAAATTCAACCAAATCATTATCACAAACATTTGAAGACTCAGCCAACACAGCTTTCATGCATTTACTAAGTTGACACAGCTAGCAAGCATGTACTCAGCCGACACAGGGCACCAAGCATTACTCTGCCAACACAGCATGCTAACATGCACTAACCCAACACAGCTAGCAAGCATGTACTCAGCCAACACAGCTAGCAAGCATGTACTAAACCAACACAGCTGGTAAGCATGTTAACAGCCAACATAGCAGAAATATATGATGGTATGGATGGGAGGGGGTTCCCTCATTTCATTATTCTTGAATATTCCTAGACCATTTTTTCTCTATTCTTCACCATTTTTTCCCATTAGTCTCTATTCTTTATATCTTAACACCTCAAGATCATTATTCCTTATCTTTTTATTTTTTGCCCTATTTTCCTCTATTTATTTTTTGTCCTTTATTTTGCACCTTTTGCACATTATACTCTACTCTGTAAACCACATCAAGACCCTCATCCATATTCTTAGCCAACACAGCAGACAAGCAGTTCTATGTATAATACAGATAAGGATGACCTCTAATGGTAATAACGTGTCTGGGTCATTGGTGATAGGTCTAGCTATAAACTGTTACCTTGTAAACTTGCACATCTAAATTTGAAACCGCTTGTCATTCTAGTACAAACAAGATTCATATTCATAGAACATGTACTCTTCCTGAATATGCATTTAACATCTGTCATAAGTAAAATGAATTGGGGTCGTTTCTGTTTTCACATAAATATGGATTTTACTTTATATGCATTGAGAAAAAATTAGGTTTTCGTGAACATTTGATTTCCTGGTGATGACGAAGTTTGCATACAAGTCTATACAAGTTTGGTATTTAGTTCAAATATTTAAATTCATGCCCTACCTATATCCATAAAATCCTTTGAAAAATTGGTATCCCACGCATAATAATGTATCCAGAGTCATGACAGTACTTTTTCAACAACAAATAAAATGCTCCGCAGGGCGCAGCTTGATACGACCGCAGAGGTCGAACCCTGAACAGTTGGGGCAAGTATGGACACAACATTCAAGCTTGATACAGCTCTGAATTTGGATTGTGATTAAATATTTGACACAGCATAGGTTTCTGACACAGAATGAATGTGGTCTAAGAACTTAAAATTTTTAAATTGGACATTCACCTATTATGGTCCAATATCCAAAATCTAAATACATGGTTAGATTCAGCATATCAAAGAACCCCAAGAATTCAATTTTTGATGAAATCAAACAAAGTTTAATTTTGGACCCTTTTGACCTCAATGTGGACAAAGTTGATAACGGGGCCCAAAAATCAAAAATCTAAATACATGGTTAGATTCAGCATATCAAAGAATCCCATATATTCAATTTTTGTTGAAATCAAACAAAGTTTAATTTTGGACCCCGATTTGGACCAACTTGAAAACTGGGCCCATAATCAAAAATCTAAATACATGTTTAGATTCAGCATATCAAAGAACCCTAAAAATTCAATTTTTGTTAAAATCAAACTAAGTTTAATTTTGGACCCTTTGGACCTTAATGTAGACCAATTTGAAAACGGAACCAAAAATTAAGAATCTAAATACACGGTTAGATTCGGCATATCAAACAACCCCAATAATTCAATTTTGATGAAATCAAACAAAGTTAAATTTTGTACCCTTTGGACCTCAATGTGGACCAATTAAAAAACGGGTCCCAAAATCCAAAAACTTAATACACAGTTAGATTCAGCATATTAAAGAACCCCAAGAATTCAAGAATAAAACCCCATTGAAATTGATCAAGAAATAAGCAATTTATACGAAGTATCTTCTTTTGCACAATACTGTGCAATTGAATATTTCTTGCTATTGCGCAATACTGTACAATTGACAATTTCTTGCTATTGCGCAATATTGTACTATTGGATATTTCTTGCTATTGCGCAATACTGTGCAATTGAAGATTTCTTGCTATTGCGCAATACTGTGCAATTGAAGATTTCTTGCTATTGTGCAATACTGTGCTATTGAAAATTTCTTGCTATTGCACAATACTTATTATATAATAATTTACACATCCTGTTTGGTGTGTATCTCCTACCATATCATTATTATTTGCTTTAAAATATAAATCAGAAATAACCAACTTAAAATGGAAAATTTTAAAAGAAGAAAAAAAAGGAAAAAAAGAAAAGAAAAAAAATCCCCCCCCAAATTTTTTGAACCCCCTTATGATTCATCACCCCCAAATTCAATCCCAGCCTTCCCTTTGTGGTATGGTACCTTGCAGTACAATTTCAGAGAGATCCATACACTTGAACATGTTGAACACAAGTTATTGTCTGGAAACTAGAAAAATGCTTATTTTTGGCCCCTTTTTGGCCCCCAATTCCTAAACGTTTCGGGCAATTACCCCCAAACTCAATTCCAGCTTTCCCTTTGTGATATGGAACCTTGTAGTACAATTTCAGAAATATCCAAACACTTATACACAAGTTATTGTCATGAAACTAGAAAAATGCTTGTTTTTTGCCCCTTTTTTGGCCCCTTATTCCTAAAATTTTGAGGCAATTACCCCCAAAATCAATTACAGCCTTCCCTTTGTGATATGGAACCTTGTGGTATAATGTCAGAGAGATCCATACACTTACACACAAGTTATTGTCTGGAAGTTACAAAAATGCTTATTTTTGGCCCCTTTTTGGCCCCTAATTCCTTAACTGTTGGTACCATAACCCCCAAAATCAATCCCAGCCTTCCTTTCGTGGTATTGAACCTTATGGTAAAATTTCATGGAGATCCATTCACTTAAACTAAAGTTAGAGTGCGAAAACCAATGTGTCTTCTGACAACGCCGGACGACGACATCGACGACGCCAGACGACGACGCCAACGTCATACCAATATACGAACAAAAAATTTTTAATATTTGCGGTCGTATAAAAATCAAGAAAATTGTAATTTTTTGATAAATTTACTCATTTATTGTTTAAGCCTGAATCTTTAATCTTTTTACATTGTTGTTAGTCCAGGCAATCTATGTGAAAAACATTAAACTAATTACAACATAAGCTGTTTTTACTTTCATGTTATTATACCACTGCCTTATTCAATCATATAAAAAGTATTTCAAAATCAGAATTGTCTAAAGTATGTTATTTTGGGGTTCAATATTGTGTCTGCTTGACTTGTAGATATTATCCTGAATGGACTGCTGTAAACGAAATGCTTTTGCGTCACATTTTTTTAGGTAATAACCAGTACTTTTAAACAAAACAATCTCATATCTAAACCAAATTATTCCAAAGCTAAAGCTAAAATGTGTACACCCTTTTAACTATATTTAAAAGTGTTAGTGATATTGTTTGTCAAAAGGCTTTGTCAAATATTAATAAAACTATGGAAATCCATTCTAAACGTAAGAGGTGTTGTTTTCTGATGCATTTATTCAACTGCTTTTGCAAAAGCATATCAACACTAAAGTAGCAAACATCTGTAGTGTTTAAAAATGCAAAAATCTGTAGTGCTTAAAATATAAAACAAGAGGCTCTCAAGAGCCTGAATCACTCACCTGTAATTTTTTGCTTAAATCTTTCATCAATGATTATTTTTGCTTTTCAATATATATTAATGAATGGCTTGAAACTTCCATTGAAATGATCTTTGTATCTGTCATATTTTCTTCAAAATCCAAGAAATGCATTTTACCCCTATGTTTTATTTTAGTCATAGTGGCTATGTTTCTTGATGTACAAGAAAATAAAATACAAAATTTATACTAGATACTCTGAAACTCATTCAGCCCAAGTTTGGCTGAAATTGATTCAGCAGTTTCAAAGGAGAAGATTTTTTAAAGTAAGCAAACTAAATGTACAAATTGTGAAAAATTGATTTTAAAGGGCAATAACTCCTTAAGGGGACAATTGACAATTTTGGTCATACAAACTTGTTTGTAGAACTTACCTTGCTGAACATTTTTGCTGATCACAGTTTATCTTTATCATTAATAATATTCAAGATAATAACCAAAAACTGCAAAATTTCCTTAAAATTACCAATTTAGTGGCAGCAACCCAACAATGGGTTATCAGATTCAACTGAAAATTTCAGGGCTGATAGAACTTCACCTAATGAACACTTTAACCCCCATGTCAGATTTGCTCTAAATGCTTTGGTTTTTGAGATATAAGCCAAAAACTGCCTTTCAGGCCTATGTTCTAAAAATTACATTACACTTATCTGGGAGGAATGCCATTTTCCACATACTGACATAGTTTCCCTATATATATATATATATAGCTAGAGGTATCAGGTTGTTCCGGCCCCAAGTCGACCCGGCCCAAAGTCGATCCGTCCCATGTTGATCTGGCCCACTGTGATCCGGCCCCATAATAAAATAATGACTAATTTATGTTAACTTCGGAGGATTTGGTGACATATTTAAATCAGGATAAACGGAATTTTGTAAAAAGTATCGATGCTTAATGACAGCAGGTAAGTAAAGTATGCCTAATATTGGAGTAACATTCAGATGAATAATTTTAAAACGTTACAAAAGAAATATGATTGGTACTGTTTGTAAAGCAGCATCAGCATATAAATATGAAGTTATTTTCCATGATAACTTGGAATATCATGGGGAAAAAAGGTTTTTATTTAATTCACACATAGAAGAGATAAATAGATATTTACAATCCGATGGAACATATAATTATGTAGTCATCATAAGGACTAAATTTAAAATCAAATCAATAGTCTATATAATTGGTTTGTTTATTCAACAATTGTCTGATGATCGTGAACCAAATTAACGCCAGTTGTAATCACTTAATTCAATCAAAATCATGATTGATAAAATTTACTTAAGCAAAAAGATCTTTTTTTTAAATTCTAATAATTAATTGTTATATTTTTTTTTCAGGTAACATGAAGAAATGTACTATTATTTCTTTTCACCACTGTCTTCTCTGTGTTATTTTCTTCTTTTTTTTGAGTTTTTATAACTTTTCAACAAACATCAGCTTGGGGATCGGCTTGTACAGTTGTGTATTTAACTATTTGTTATTACACCAGTTGAGAGACTTGTCAATTGCAAAAAATGCTAATTACTACCGATGAATGTTGATGGTACTACATTCTGTTATATATGTTTTTATTATAATTATGCATACCCAATAGTCTTGAAAATTTGTAATATAAACATAATCAACATAATTGTTTTATATTCATAATCATCCGTATTCGTTTAAGGTGATAAATTGATTTGAATTCAAATATTTTATATAAAAATAATATATTTCTATATGAATTCTTAACAGTCAGGCCCGGGGGGGGGGGGGGGGGGGGGGGGTTACTGACTATCCTTTGGGTTATACCTGTACTTGCCAAATCATACCCTGTTCTAAACAAAATATTGAAAAACATACCCTGTTCAAGACACGCTCAGACATTTGTTAAAATATGCACCGGTAATGATCCTGTTCTAGACCGTATAAAATAGATGGTGTTCTAGATCCGGGTTCTAGACTGTTTCTTAAACAGTTAAATAAGCAATCCTGTTCTAGACAAATACTTTGCTTAAAAAAAGACCCTGTTCTCACCAGCAGGGCATGAAAAAGCGACCCTGTTCTAACCAGCAGGACATAAAAAAGGGACCCTGTTCTAACCAGTAGGGCATGAAAAAGCGAACCTGTTTTGCAGCACACTCGTACCACTAAAAATATAGAAAGTAACCCCCCCCCCCAGGCAGTCAGGGGACTTTTTGAAATAAGTGATTTTTAAATCACTTATTTAAGTAGCAAATTCGAATTTTTGTCACAAATTGTGATTTTGTAGTTTTACCAAAATTTTAAACACATAGGTAACAGTTGAGGTTTAGATAATATCTTTTCATTAGTAAAATTGAAAAAATGAACTTTTTGCTTCTTTTAACATGTTTAAGCAGCAAGGTTTATGCCTTTGATGCAATCATTTAGCTGCAAATTCTATTTTAGTTGAAAAAATGCTATAAAAATGGCTTTACATAATGAACTGATACTTTTTTAACAGATTTTTCCCAGCAGTGGGAGTATTTTTCATGTAAAATTCAAGGTTTCATCTTATAGATTATGTAATAAAATTCTACTGTTCGTGATCAAAATTTCACTGTTCAGGGGTGTTGAAATTAGTGGGGGTTATTAAAATAATGATACTTAAAGAAGTGATTTTTTGGAAGGAAATTGAGGTACATGTATGATACTTAAACAAGTGATTTTTATGTCATTATCCTAGATTTAGTACAAGGTCATCACCTGACATGACCCGGTCATCATATCAACACAGATATTTAAAGCTACAATATTATTCAATAAAATTAAATCACTTATAAGTGATTTAATTTTATTGAATAATATTGTAGCTTTAAATATCTGTGTTGATAGTTTTTAGTCTAGTGATTAATTTGTACTACTTAAATAGGTGATTATTAAAGAAAGACAAGTCTTACTTCCAACCTTTATGGACATATATAATGTTACTTGAATCAGTGATTTAGAAAATCACTCATTTAAGTAAGTCCCCTGACTGCTTAATATAAATAAAAAAAATATTCAAATAAAGGTCTCATCTATAGAAAATTTATAGTGAATTCATATATATCTTTATTCTTATTCCTGATAAATATTTCTTATATTGGGGCCGGAATCACTTTAAATATGGGGCTGGATCGACTTGGGACGGAACGACTTGGGACGGATCGACTTTGAGACGGATCGACATGAAAGCTAGCTAGATGCCAATTTGTAATATGTCAAAATGAATGTAGATGCATCAGAATTTGATTTAATTGCCAAATAAACTATGGTGTCATCTGCAAATAAACGCACTGTAGTGATAACAACATATTAAGAAATAAGGCCAAAAAAATAATATGCGTTTCCGTTAACCCTACCTACGCTAATTTTTAGTGCCTACCCTAACACTTTTTATGCCATTTTGGAACAAGCACTGTTAAAGTCAGACACTGATTCCCTAGTGAGTAACTAGCTAAAAAATGTTTGTAAAATAAAATAATATTGCCTACCTACCTACTCTATTTTTTTTCAGTACGTTAGCGGAAACACATGTATTTTTTTTTATTTTTTTGCTGTAATGGTTAAACTCTAACATGTCTAAATAGTTGTCGTATTGATTTACCAAATGCGGAAAATAAATTAAATAGGTATCGATTTGACCAGGGGTCGATTTGACTAAATGCCGATTTGACTTTTTCTATCGGTGCCGAATTGACCATGTGCCGATTTGACCTGTTCATCACTGGCATCAGATGATCATGACATAAGCCGATGAAGTCTTTCAAGGTGGTATCTAGAAAAATATATGAGGAATTTCGGACTAAAAGGGTGCAAACGATAACATTAATTCACAACTAACCTATAGTTGTACGATGTAAACTTTTTGCTTTCTTTAAGTATTTGCTTATATAAGGCAAGTGCTTTTGATCTTGAACCCATGTTTTATTTTCGTCTTGCGGTTGTTGTGATTCCGAGTATATCTAAATACCAATAGATACCTTGGATGGTCGTTCCTGCAGTCAAGAACGGCCGGATTGCTCTTCAGAAGAATATGTCGTCTGTATAGCCATTAGTTCATTACCGGAAGAGGATGATTTCTGGGTAGTTCATCGGACCTCTCTAGATGGTCTATCCGATGACCTAAAACTAACCCTACGAATACTACACTCCCCCCAGTTTTATTAATAAGGCCCCCTCTACTGAGGTGGGCCCTGTGAATTTTGCCCAAAATTAACAAAAAACGGAAATCATACCAAATTTATCGAAAATATGCATCAATTAAAAAAGTATACTACCTACCCCCCTAACAATTTAAAAAAGTATACAACCTATCCCCCCAAACAGACCCTTTGTATTCATGGGTCTACTGGTACACTAAGAGTTAGTACGATGGGTTCCCAACAAATTGGGAACCCAGCCAACTGTGAATTGTTCTTCTCTGGATCATATACCAACTTATACAAACTAAGCCCTGGACACTTAGTGGTTGCAAGTCCTCTATATAGTTGGACCCAGGAGGTTGTGCTGATCCATTCTCCGTCGTGAAAAGTTCGGTCTCATTTTTCCTCACTTGCACTTTATTTAATTTTATACCTTTGTTAAAGTAGGGAATTCCAGGGTCCCACTGTCTTCTGTTGGGACCCCATCTAACTGTGGCCATGGTCACACGCAAGACTGTTGTCCCACTGTCTATTGGGGGCGGCTGCAGATTAAAGTATCTAGTGCCAACATTATCTGCTTTGAAAAGTGACCCCAAACTCAAACTTGGACTTTCTTGATTAATGGATGAGGATTCCTTGTCGAAGAAAGATTCTACAATAATAACTGCTTCTTTGTAGATCGGACTATTGTTTTCGGTTGTGGCCTTTCTGTCAATTGCTCCCGTTGAGGAAGGGACCACTAAAGTGAGAGATGTATGACCTTTTTCATACTTGTCAGTCATTCCTCCATCTACAACAGGAGTTGGACACATCGACCCTTGATATGGCTGACAAACTGTATTACTGACCTCTTCTACCAATGTGGTATCTTCCTCAATGTCTGAGGTGGAGTCCCAACTTTCTTGGGCCTCCTCATCACTTGCCATAGTTTTCTCTCTTGGGGCAGCAACCTCGTGATGGCTATGGCTTTCCTCCATAGCCAATATAGCTCCTAGGGGTTCCCTCACAATGTTGGCTACTGGACCCTCCTGGTCTGCTGTGAGCACTGCTGGAGCAACTACGTTGCCCAAGTCCAGTTCCTCATGTTTCTCCACTAATGGCATGTCTGGGGTATCCACCACCAAGGAATGCCCCTGGTTAGCCCTTATTTTCCAACAACCACTGTCTGTGTCCCTTATCAAAGTAAACCTCTTATCCACGTCGACCGTGACCAGTTTGTGTATATCTGGTAAAGAGTACCTGGCAAAGCCTGGGTGCCCTTTAAGGATTTCCTCCACAAATAAATACCCACCAGGGAGAAGTTTGTGGCCCAACTCCAGTGCTCCATGCCTCAATATGTTAGCAAGAGTGTTTAATAAATTGCGGTCCAGTCTGCCTGAAGGAGTATCCTCTTCTTCAGAAATTAAGGACTGCCCTGATTCACTCTCTGCTCTAACTTCCACCGACACCCTAGATTCTCCATTCCCCTCCCTATCCCTGGGGAGATTGGCATCTACCCCTGTGCTCAATATAGCTACCTCCGCTACTCTGGCTTGGGGTACAGACTCAACTACTAAGAGGCCCAACTTCATTTGCGGGGACTCACTCCGGCCTCCTGAGTAGTCCCGTTGAAGTTTAATGGACCTGTTACAGTTCTGCTTGACTGATCCCTTAAGGTAACAGTTTTATCTCTCCCCTGGAAATCCAGACAGTCCTTCCTTACATGTCCAGGCTTAAAACAGTGGTAGCACACTCCCTCCCATGGAGGCCCTCTATGAGGGGAGAGACTCCCTGAGACAGATTTACCTCCAAATTTTGGACATTCCATTTTAAAATGGCCCCTCTCCCCACAGTAGTGGCAACCTTCCGCCTCTGCTAGTCTGCCCGGTGAGGGGCTTCCTGCAACATGGCAGGGGAGGAGTTTCTTGAATTGGTCCATTATGTCGTCAAGTTTTTCATGGACTAGATCAAACTTATTTTCAAATTTTTTATTGGTCTTTTCCAATTCACTTTTCCAAGTACTCGCTGGGGCCCTCTCAGGGGCCATAGTAGCCCTTACCTGCGGTACCTGGTACTCGTGGAACACCTCTGGGTGGTCGTCATACCGGCCACCCATTACCTGCCTAACCTCACGCCTAGTTGGCTTCCCATATATTGCCTGGGTATTGTGCTGGAATAGCCGTATTTTATCTACAGCCTCCTCTATGCTTTGGGGCTGGAGATTTGAGACTTGCACCCCCAACTCTTTGTTTTCAATACCCTGGCACAGCCGCATTACGGCCTGCTCATACATATAGTCATCAGGGAGGTTTCTAAAGGCCCTGGTGGCCAAGGACAACACCCGATCAGCCCAGTCCTCGAGAGACTCCTCAGGGGCTTGCCGGGCATTGTTGAACTGGACCCGGGCGGTCTCAGGGAGTGCCTTGAAACCAAAGCGCTTGTGGAGCTTCTCCACAAGCTCCTTATAACTCACCTCCCTGTCTCTTTCCGTTATGAGGGCATAATACTCGCTGGCCTTCCCCTCAAGGCACCAGCAAAGTTGGTCTTTACATTCCTGCGGACCCCATTCACAAACCTCTGCGTACCTTGCAAATTTTGTGAAAAAGGCCTGCCAGTTGCCCTTCCCGTCATACTTAATATTTTTTGGGGCATTGCTAACTTTAGAGACTGCACCTAAAGTTGCTCGTGCCCCACCTCTGCTGTCAGGTCCCCTTATGTTTTCCCTGGGCCTATCCTCATTGTGTGGCATTGGGTAAGCATGTTGCCCGTAGCTCCCCCCGGTGGTGACCCCTTGTGGGGGCACCGGTGTATACCCTTGGTTGTACGGATTATGGGATTGCCTATCCCCATAGGCACAGGCCGGGGTCCGCCTTTGGTCCTCACCCCTGTTGTTTGGTCTTTCTTCATACATTGGGGCTGGAGCTTGTCTGGAGTCCTCGCCCCTATTGTCTTGCCACTTGCCATCCCTACTGCGGGGTGTTTCATACTGTCCCCCACCAGTGTGAGCTAGTTGGGTACAGGGTGCTGACCCCTGACCTGAATAGTTGCTTGTGTGACCCATGGGGTATGAAGGTGCGCCCCTTTTGGTTGGGACGGTTTTGTCCCATGCACTGGCTTCCCCTGGCCAGTGCTGTTTTGTCTTAATACTACTCCCTTGATGTTGGGGATTACCTTGGTTTGGGTCACCCATAATGGGTTGACTCCACTCATTTTTTGTAATTTGTTCCCTGTATCCCCCATACCAATTTTCGGGGGTCTTAGGTCTAGCTCCAGCATCCCCGGGATATGGGCTACACTCAAGAAAGGCAGAGTCCATCTGACTGGGCCCACCCCAGGGCCTAGGACTTTGCCCCTGATGCCATGCCTCTTGCTTAAATGCTGATTGGACATGTACCCGTGATGGGGTGTTTTGTGAGGCAACATGTCCCCCATCTATTAGTGTGTTAACCCTGCACAACATTTCATTATGCCTGCCTTGGGCCTCAGGTGGTGGCCCACTATTTTGGCCACCCCCATTTTGATTGAAGTCAAGTCTGGACAAGAGGGCCATTGTCACTCGTAGATGGGAAATTGTGGCTAGATCTGACTCAGTCACAAAGCCCTTGCCCTCCCTTATGTCCATAATTTGCTCCCCAGTTTTAATTCCTATACCTGGGAGCTGAAGTAACTCTTGAAAGCTACAAGTGTTTATGTTTATAATGGACATTGTAACTGTAAACAATTAACACTGATTTTCAACAAAGTTTATTTATTTATCAATAAACAACAACAACCAACACTTTTAATTATACAGATGTTTTTATTTTATTTTATTTTATTGAATAACAAATACTTCCGCTTTGGGTAACCCGTCCTTCTGGTCTGCGGTTAGTAGCGGAAGCGAACAGAACAATAATACGACTGGTAACCCGTCCTTCTGGTCTGCAGTTATCAGAGGTAAACAGAACAATAACACAACGACTGGTAACCCGTCCTTCTGGTCTGCGGTTAACAGAAGTAAACAAAACAACAACACAACGACTGGCAACCCGTCCTTCTGGTCTGCGGTTAACAGAAGTAAACAAAACAATAACAAGTTGACTGGTAACCCGTCCTTCTGGTCTGCGGTTACCGGTGACTGGTACCCAGCTGTCCCTTCTGGGTCAAGCAAGGTAATGACCTGTCGTCTCCTGCCACAATCTTTCCCCCTAAACTACCGTGAAGTATTCCTCCAGAATACTCCACAAATGCCTGAAATGATTTATTCCCTCGCTGGAATAAACCAAAAACACCCTTTTCCCTCCTGTCTTACTATTTTTACCGTCCACCACCGGCACGGCAAAAATATAATAAATATCCCTTAAAGTCCTTACACTGCCCGACAACACGACTGGTTCCCCGTTCCTCCCAGGTCACGTGATCCAAGTCGTCTTGAAAATACGAAAAAACAACAAATACTCAATACTACGCAAAAAACAGGGGTTCTACCGCGCTGCAAAACCCCTGTGATGTTATGTAATATGCTCTCCCAGAGTATTACACAACAAAAAACGATCGGCAAAGGTTTCCCCCGAATCCTTTACCGCGGGAAATTCTGTTGAAGCGAACCTCGCCTCAACTCACAAAATGAGCCCTAAATTGCAAATCACCACGCAAATTAGTGCTCGCAGCGCCAATGTTGTGATTCCGAGTATATCTAAATACCAATAGATACCTTGGATGGTCGTTCCTGCAGTCAGGAACAGCCTGATTGCTCTTCAGTAAAATATATCGTCTGTATAGCCATTTAGTTCATTACCGGAAGAGGATGATTTCTGGGTAGTTCATCGGACCTCTCTAGATGGTCTATCCGATGACCTAAAACTAACCCTACGAATACTAGACTGGTTCTCCTGTCTAGATAAATGTGCATATTACATATTTCATATATCAAGACAGGTAGGGTTCAACGCCATCTTTTTATTTGAAATCGAGGTTGTTCTAATTTTAAAAATTTTGACGTCATCAAAATAGGAAAGCCGGTGTTTTCTCCCGGCATGCATTTGTAACTAACAACAATAAACAATATGGCAGCAGACGATACTGTGAAAGATTTTAAAGAAAAACTAAAGAATGTCTTGACACATAAAATAGCATTAGCTAAAATCAACTCTACACGAAAAGTGAATTTAACGTTCTTGAAACCTTTGCAATTGCAAAGTATTCAAGGTGCAATGAAAAGTGATGCATTGATCATGCTACCCACTGGATATGGAAAGTCATTGATTTTCGAAATGCTGGCAAAAATGAACAACACAAAATGCATTATTATCAGCCCTTTAAATGCCATAATTGAAGAGCAAACAAGAAAGTTGGGTACAAAGGCTGTTAACGTTAATGCAGCGCTTACCAATAGTATTGAAGGTATTTTTAATATTCATCTCCATTCTCGACCTCAGTGAGACACTTTTTAAGGTTCATCATAACAAATGGACAAATATGGCCGTATTTTCACCCCAAAAACTACTCTGTGTACAGACTTACCTGTACAGTTTAAAAAGTTTTAAGGCCTGGCATCCACTAGATATATAAAAGTTAAATGCATTTTGTGTTTCAGAAAGATGTAATCGTTTTTGGATTTTGATGGGCATTTTTTTTCCTTCCTGCAGAAGGTGTAAAAATAAACAAACACCTGAATTGCATTTGATACTGTCCACTCAGTTACTACCTTTAACTCATCTATAGATGTGTAAATATCTATTGCCTGTCTATTGTCTATGCCAATCAAGGACAATCAATACAATACAAACCAGTTGTTACCTGAGAGGGAGCATCTCAAAGTTGTATCAAAACTTAGTTTATTTTTACACCTTCTGCAGGAACGAAAAAAAATGCCCATTAAAATCCCAAAAAGATTTTATCTCTCTGATATGCAAAATTTTAAATGTCTCCTGCCATTTGAGAAAATTCTAAAATCTTTTAAATGGTATAGATCCCCACCCCTAAACCATATATATTCTGGTTTCTCATGATAAAGCACATCGAATGAAATACAGGGTTAGTCCCCAGGGGTCACCCCCACCCCTTGCCACTTAAGAAAGTTCTAATATCTTGTAAGTGGTCAAGATCCCCACCCCTAAACCATATATATTCTGGTTTGTCATACCAAGATGGTTTGAATGATATACAGGGTTAGTCCCCAGGGGTCATCCGGACCCCCTGCCATTTGAGAAAGTTCTAATATCTTGTAAATGGTCAAGATCCCCACCCCTAAACCATATATATTCTGGTTTGTCATGATAAAGCACATCAAATGAAATACAGGGTTAGTCCCCAGGGGTCACCCCCACCCCCTGCCATTTAAGAAAGTTCTAATATCTTGTAAGTGGTCAAGATCCCCACCCCTAAACCATATATATTCTGGTTTGTCATGCGAAGATGGTTTGAATGATATACAGGGTTAGTCCCCAGGGGTCACCCCCACCCCCTGCCATTTAAGAAAGTTCTAATATCTTATAAATGGTCGAGATCCCCACCCCTAAACCATATATATTCCTGTTCATCATGTCTCAGAACATTTGAATGACGTATAGGGTCAGTCCCCAGGGGTTCCCCCCACCCCAATGTTCTAATATCTTGTAAATGGTCGAGATCCCCACCCCTAAACCATATATATTCCTGTTCGTCATGTCTCAGAACATTTGAATGATGTATAGGGTCAGTCCCCAGGGGTTCCCCCCACCCCTAATGTTCTAGTATCTTGTAAATGGTCGAGATCCCCACCACTAAACCATATATATTCTGGTTTGTCATGCCAAGATGATTTGAATGATATACAGGGTTATTCCCCAGGCATCACTAATGCATATAACTTTACTGGACTTTGTCCAATGTCAGGCGATCCTGGGAATTACGAATTATGGGAGCTTCTTTTGGGAGACTTCGTAACAGCATCCTGTTACAATCATTTCTTGTTTATAATTAGTTCAAACACTTTTGATGACACATTTAACCTGGCAACAATGAGTTGGGTGGTGCCCAATGATACCCCTGCCATTGTGGCAGATAATACAGATTCTTGATATAATCTGGGGGACCAGGAACCATTGATGTGTCTTTTGCTCTATGTACTTCCCATTACTTTTTTTGTGCACGTGTGAATTACTTTGGTAGCACTTTGAATTATCTACCAGATAATACATAAATTGAAAAAAAAAATTGATTAGTTCAATATTATATTTTAGGTTAAAATATATGACTTTAATCATTTATTAAGTCAAGAGTGCACATGTTGAAATGTCTCTCCTGCTTTACAAACCATATATTTATTAAATGTAATTATACTCATAAAAATATAAAATTTTGTAAATACATGTTAATCTTATTAATCAATGTCTAAAAATAAATGGTGTTTATGTACCAATAGATTGTTTCATTTTTATATTTTAGGTCCAGAGGGAAGAGATTTTAAGAATGGTAAATTCATGTACGTTTTTGGCCACCCTGAACAGATTCTGAAAAAAGAAATTTGTAATGTTTTTAAGCAGAAAAGTTGGGAAAATGTTTCACACATTGTAGTAGATGAGGCTCATTGTGTTGTTCAATGGGGACATGATTTTCGTCCCGATTTCAGACATATTTCGAAACTGCGTGCAATACTACCACAAGCTAAAATACTAGCATTAACTGCAACAGCTACACCAAAAATGAAGAGAGAAATTCAACAACAGCTTTGTATGAAAGATGTGTTTACACTATCAGGCCCAGTTGATAGACCCAACATTAAAATTATAGTTAAAAAACGTCTACCACTTACTGGAGGAAAGACAACAGCAGAGGGTTCATTCCAGGATGTACTTAATCCTTATATTGAGGAACTTTGTAGTGAAATTGGGAATGTTCCAAAAACTATAATATATTCAAAGCTCAAATGGTGTGGTATAGGCTATGACATGGTATCACAGGCAGCCCGTCTTGTAAATAATACTCAAGAGATACTTTCAGCAGTGTCACAGTTCCATGCACCTTGCACAGATGAGGTAATTAATATTAATATAGCAATCCTTTTTGAACGTACTAAGAAATCAAACATAGACCAGTAAAATGCAGGCAAAATTTCAAAGAAGTGATGGATAAAAAACCTAAAATCTGGTATACTGACTCCAGGTGTATACATATTTTTTTTCTATTTTCATTCTGTCTGATGTTTTTGTACATATTTTTGTATTGAATTATACTCTCATTCTTAAGGTAGAAGATTTTTCTTTTATTTTTATAATATGGTTTGGAAGAAATTTATGGGCATATTTTAGAGATATTATATCTTTTGAAGAGTTAAAAAATAAACCAATCGTTAGATGTGCCCATCCATAATATTGTCAAACAGATTATGACATTGAAATCCATTGGTTACTACATGTATTCTGAATTTTCATTCTAACTAACGAGGTCGTATACTCGAAGCCATCATGCATATAGTGCTCTTGACGTTGATTTAATTTTAATATTTGGCCTTGGACAGAGACCTTGTTCATCTTTGTACATGCATACATGTTTATATAAAAATAACAGTTTAATTGTGACATAACGTCAATGACTATGTCCACTTTATTCAAGATATTTCAAACATTAGTATTAAACATTAAACAATGAATTGAATAAAATAGTATTTGACACATAATAAACAAAAATGAAAACATTATAAATCATTTGCATTTGTAATTAATGATATAATTTTAGATGAAAAAAAATATAGCACAGAACATGGCAGATACAAATGGATCCATAAAGTTGCTTTTTGCAACTCAAGCCTATGGTATGGGAACTGATGCCCCAGATGTTGAAAGGGTTTGTCACATTGGACCACCAAGTTCATTAGAATGCAAGTATTATGGCTATATTACATATTATACTATGGGTTATAGAAACAGAAATACTTCATTATTCCAGTTATGGACCCTTGTGGTTTTTAAATTTCATACAATGATAACAATAATTTTTGTTATAATTAAGGAATGACTGTAATATTTTTTCTGTCTATGAAGAAATAACATCAAAAATGTGGTGCACACTGAATAACCCGTGTAGCAGGTTATTTTAAAGTGTGCACCACTTTTTTTATGTTATTTCGAATAGACAGAAAAAATATTACAGTCATTTCTTATAATTTAATTCTTAATTCCATTTTAAACCAGAGTAAATCATGAAAAAACGTTGATGACGTCAAGGTCACATGACAAAATTATGTCTATAAACTGATAAACAAAACAATGTCAGCCAATCGGAAGACGTGTTACATCCAAAATTAAATTATATGACAATGAAATAATAATAAAATAAAATACAGCATAAAAATCACTGAATACATAGAAGAGAAAGTTAATATGGGAGACAATCAATAAATATGTAAGGATTATTCCCCTTTAAACAGTATCTAATAATTTTTAAAGATATGGTGTTCAGCGTTGGATAAAAAAAGAAGCCTCAACTGATTAAATATAAGGGTAGTTTTCTCCCATGTACACACAGCAACAAATAACTAAATATTTATGTATATAATATTTAAATTGCAAGAATTGGATAAGCACCTTTACAAGTTTGACTGCAGTCTAACACATATATTAGGAATTAACATAATATATATATAAAAATATATATACATGAAATATGCATACGCATAAACAGAGTAATGTGTATTTTATTTTAATTTTTTTTATTTTAAAATATATATAGATAAACTAAAAGAGATTTAGCCATTTGTATAATTTTTGGAACTCAATTTAAAATGCTGGATAAGAAAATTACATAAAAAAATATAACTTTTCAAGTATATATTTATCTTCCGTGGTCATTAACCATAAACATTTTGATTTGAAGTCTAAGTTATTAAAATTTTGATAGTGCTCATGAGCTTGTGTAAACAATAATTCTCAAAAGTTATCATATAATGGACAGTTATTTCAAAAATGAAACTCATCTTCTATATCATTATGAGAACAAAAATTACAAGTCCTCTGTGACCTATCTATAGGTTTGTTTGTAGAGTGCTATTTTTCCACTCGTAATTGATGGGCACATATGCATATGCAAAATTTACATATTTATTAATATTTGTCCTAATTCAAAACTTTGAATATCAAGATATTTTTCCATTTTGAAATTACTTTTATGAGAAAAATATGTATCCAGCTTTCCAGTAACATTATCATCATCAGTGTAGCATGCTTTCAAAAACAATGTCTTTTAACTTTTTCATAATAAGTTGTTTTAATCTATTAATTGAATAATAAATATGTTTCTATTAATTCAAGCTTTTCTACAATAAATTTAACAGAGTAGTACCAATAATTCAGTCATAGTGTCATTTTCATGCATATTTTTGTTACATATAAAGGCTTCTTTCAATAAATTTGAGTTACAACGATTATATATGTCTCCCCTTCATTTTTTTGAAAATCTGCATTGTACACCATCAAATTTAATAAGTCCAGCACAAGACATTTTGACTTTGAACAACATATCACTGATAAAAATTAAATTATTTTACCTTAACATTTAAGTAAAAGATTAGGGTAAGCCCATTGTTATAAATAACACTCATATCATAAGACTTGTGCAAAGTACAAAAAGTTTGGTTCCAGATAACACATCTTTGACAAAAACAAAAAAGAAGCAATAATTTGACCTTGAGGTCAAAAATCAAGCTCACATATAAGTTATGATGGTACCCTACACATCATCCTGTTGTGATATACCTACATTCCAAATATCATAACACTTTGTAAAAGATGAAAAGTTATAGGGGTTACAAGTATGTACAATACAAAAATCAATAATTTCACCATGAGGTCAAAGGTCAATGCTATATGTTGGTCACCTCTTCTAATGGTGATACACCAACATTAAAAAAAACATGAGACTTTCACACAAGATGAAAAAAAATGATCATGAGGAAAACAATTTCACAATGACTAATTGCACCACTAGCTCCTCAAAACAAAATTGCAGTTCAAAGATTTGTAATATGTAATACGTTTTTTTGTTTTTTTTCATGTCAGAACAAAACATTTGAAAACTGAAAGGGAATGATTTTACAAATACAATAATTGTTTACTCATTTAGGTTATCTACAAGAAATTGGAAGAGCTGGTAGAGATGGTCGACAAAGCAGTGCATTTATGCATTATAATATGAGTGATATTGCCACCAACACCATTGTACAACCAGAAGTGAGAGAATTCTGCCTCCTTAAAACATGCAGAAGAAAATTTCTGAGCCAGTATTTTGAAACAGAAGCAGATTTAGATTCAATGCTAAAGCATAACTGCTGTGATGTATGTGAAAAAGATTGTGAATGTGATTATTGTCTTGTAAGTGAAGCTGAAAAGTGTGAAGTTATAGATAATTGTCAATGTGCTGATGAACCTGATTGTAAACAATTAAAGGAAATGCTGGAATCTTATTTTAAGGCAGAAAATGATCAAATAAACATGTTAAACCAACAGCTTGTGTCAGGATTGACCCAAAATTTGTGTGACAAAATTGTTTTGTACTACAAAGACATTAAATGTGAAGGGGACATTCAGGGGTTATGTCCTTATGTACACCTAAAGCAGCATTATTTGAGTAACATTTTACTCATTGTACAAATATTGAATTAAATTAACCCAATTTTACACTACATATTTATCAATTAAGTCAGTGAACAAAATTCTGTGCTTTTTGAGCAGTTAAAATGCATTGACTGGGCCATTTCAGTTTTAAAAAAATATTTATGAAAAAAAGCAACAACAAGAAAATGGACCTATCTTATTATGATTTTCAGAAGTGAACAAACTTTGGACTTACTGCTTAAATATTAAAGAACACCTTATTTGCAACATTTTTATTAAATTGTTTGACTGTAAGAAATAAAATGTACCTCTTACTTTGTTCACAAATAGTTGTTAAAACAATGGGAGATAACTCCAATTATGCAGGAAAGTAAATATTTTAATTCCAAATAAGAGTATATTGCCAAAAATGGAATAACCAGTTCCTGGTCTATGAAACAGCAATGAAAAGAACCAATATTCTGTACATTGCATATGCTAATTGTAAATTTGAAAAATAAAGGAAACAGAGTAACTGATCATGCATTTTCTTTTATAGTATGTAAAAATATTTCATGTAACTAATTAAAAAGTTGAAAATATTTATAGATTATAAGAAGTTGCATATTGTATGTTAATTCCATTGATTTTACATGTACCAGAAACCAGCTTTTGAAAAAAACCTCTACTGTGGACTGTTATATATCAAATATCACCACAAACCAAAGGTGGAATATATTTGAAAAAATAATGATGGATTGGACAAAAGCTATAGCAGTTTTTAATTAAGAATACCTATCATAAAAATATGGAGAATTGGTAAGATTGCCAATGAGACAACTCTCCACCAAAGTTCAAAAGAAGTAGATGTAAGCAATTATAGGCAATGCAACCATATATATAGCCTTCAACAATGAGATAAACCCATACCTTATAGTCCGCTATAAAAGGTCCCACTTAAAAGTGGAAAAAAATAAATTGAGAAAACTGACTGCCTTATATATTTATATCAAAACAATTAAAAAAAACAAATATGAGAGACATCAACCAACGACATCAGGCTCAGGACATGGGACAGGCATAAAATGGTGTATTTATCAAATACAACATAACAACAATCTACAAAAATCAGATGAAATATCTTCACTCATCAGATCAATACAAAAAAAAACAAGTAACAAAAAACAAACTGGACCTGGCAAAGGAATTTATACATCCCTCACAACAAAAAAGACACAAAGTACAGACTTGATAGTCATTATATTATGTCAATGTTTAGTTCCCATTTTCCAAAGCAAATTTAACTTTTCTGGTATTGATCCAATTGTGATAATGGTCGACATCAAGGTTTTGAACAACAGATGATGAAATTTCTCCAAAAGATGAATGTTTCCTACCAGGTTGACAATGAAAAGGTCTTATATCTCGTAAATCTGACAGAATTGCCAGTTCATCTGCCTTAGACGATTTTTTTTAATATCAATAAAAAGAAGCTGGTTTAATATATTTCATTATTCTGTCCCTTTATTTTTTATTGATGTTCAAACTGCGGCACAAATTGAACTGACCTTGGTCTTTGTTAAATTTCAAAATCTACATATATAATTCATGTTTGTTTTGTTGTTCAGGTTGGTGCTAAAAGTCTCTTCACATCTATAAATAAAAATATTTAATACAATATTTTATCCTGCAATCAACCAATTTTTATTCAATTAACAGGTGCACATATAAATGTTTGTTTTTTTTATTTACTGGACAAATAAAGTTTTTGGTATCATATTTTTAATTAGAGTTGAGGGTGCAGACAAGGAAGAAAAGTAAACCAGTCTAAGATGGACATGATAGCTTAAGAAGACACCACTAAATCTTTGAGATAGAGTGCAAATGTTGCTTATTTCATCTGTATTACTTAATTTAAAATATGGTCCTCAAGCTCATACAAATAAATTTTAACAATTAAAGTATATTGTGTTTTTATCCTGCACCTATTAGAGGTTCCCTTTTTTCAAGTTTTGTAACCGTTGCCAATATAGCTTTTATTTTCAAACAATGACCACATACATGCAATGTCTTTATTTATTCCATTAGACAAAGAAGTAATGTTCTTTTATAGCCCACCATAAGGTATGGGTTTTTCTCATAGTTGAAGGCTGTACGGTTGCATGTAACTGCTTACATCAACTTCATTTGAACTTTGGTGGATAGTTGTCTCATTGGCAATCATACCACATCTCCTATTTTTATAGCAGTGTTGATAGCATACTTGACAATAATATACCATAATCTACTCCTTAAAATTCATGATTTTCAAATAAACATGATTTTTTTTTAATATCAATAAAAAGAAGCTGGTTTAATATATTTCATTATTCTGTCCCTTTATTTTTTATTGATGTTCAAACTGCGGCACAAATTGAACTGACCTTGGTCTTTGTTAAATTTCAAAATCTACATATATAATTCATGTTTGTTTTGTTGTTCAGGTTGGTGCTAAAAGTCTCTTCACATCTATAAATAAAAATATTTAATACAATATTTTATCCTGCAATCAACCAATTTTTATTCAATTAACAGGTGCACATATAAATGTTTGTTTTTTTATTTACTGGACAAATAAAGTTTTTGGTATCATATTTTTAATTAGAGTTGAGGGTGCAGACAAGGAAGAAAAGTAAACCAGTTTAAGATGGACATGATAGCTTAAGAAGACACCACTAAATCTTTGAGATAGTGTGTAAATGTTGCTTATTTCATCTGTATTACTTAATTTAAAATATGGTCCTCAAGCTCATACAAATAAATTTTAACAATTAAAAGGTATATTGTGTTTTTATCCTGCACATACTAGAGGTTCCCTTTTTTCAAGTTTTGTAACCGTTGCCAATATAGCTTTTATTTTCAAACAATGACCACATACATGCACTGTCTTTATTTATTCCATTAGACAAAGAAGCAATATTCTTTTATAGCCCACCATAAGGTATGGGTTTTTCTCATAGTTGAAGGCTGTACGGTTGCATGTAATTACTTACATCGACTTCATTTGAACTTTGGTGGATAGTTGTCTCATTGGCAATCATACCACATCTCCTATTTTTATAGCAGTGTTGATAGCATACTTGATGATAATGTAGTCCATAATCTACTCCTTAAAATTCATGATTTTCAAATCACCATGATTTTTTTTTTAATATCAATAAAAAGAAGCTGGTTTAATATATTTCATTATTCTGTCCCTTTATTTTTTTATTGATGTTCAAACTGCGGCACAATTTGAACTTACCTTGGTCTTTGTTAAATTTCAAAATCTACATATATAATTCATTTTTGTCTTGTTGTTCAGGTTGGTGCTTAAAGTCTCTTCACATCTATAAATAAAAATATTTAATACAATATTTTATCCTGCATTCAACCAATTTTTATTCAATTAACAGGTGCACATATAAATGTTTGCTTTATTTATTTACTGGACAAATAAAGTTTTGTAACCGTTGCCAATATAGCTTTTATTTTCAAACAATGACCATATACATGCACTATCTTTATTATTCCATTGGACAAAAAAGCAATTTTCTCAAAGAATTAATTCGGTTAGTTTTTTTATTTGAAATGTATTATATTTTTATGTTGTGATCTTTTATAGCCGACCTTAAGGTATGGGTTTTTCTCATAGTTGAAGGCTGTATGGTTGCATGTTATTGCTTAAATCAACTTGAACTTTGGTGGATAGTTGTCTCATTGGCAATCATACCACATCTCCTATTTTTATAGTGTTGTTGATAGCATACTTGATGATAATGTACCATAATCTACTCCTTAAAATTCAGGAATATGATTTTCAAATAACCATGATTTTTTTTTAATATCAATAAAAAGAAGCTGGTTTAATATATTTCATTATTCTGTCCCTTTATTTTTTATTGATGTTCAAACTGCGGCACAATTTGAACTTACCTTGGTCTTTGTTAAATTTCAAAATCTACATATATAATTCATGTTTGTTTTGTTGTTCAGGTTGGTGCTAAAAGTCTCTTCACATCTATAAATAAAAATATTTAATAAAAGTTGGTTGATTGCAGGATAAAATATGTTATCCTGATTTAGAGTAATTTCTCGCAATTTGATTGGCTGATTTTGTCCGAATAAATTTTAGTCCAATTTTTTTTTTCATCAATTGGAATTATCTCCCTTATACCATTGACCTAATAAATTTTTTTTTTAGTTCCTTTATAGTCCTTATATTTTTCACAGTTTTAGATTAAATATATAAATATATTTGTTTGATATTGTCCTAATAATTGAATTTGAATATAATAATATGTAATATAAAAAAATCAGGATAAATTCTCCTGCAATTAACCTATTTTTATTCAATGAACAGGTGCACATATAAATTTTTGCTTTATTTATATTACTTACTTACTGCCCGGTATGCCATTGGCATGTAGGGCAGCAACAATAAAGTTTTTGGTATCATATTTTTAATTAGAGTTGAGGGTGCAGACAAGGAAGAAAAGCAAACCAGTCTAAGGTGGACATGATAGATTAAGAAGACACCACTAAATTTTTGAGATTTATCATATTCCTCTACAGAGAGTTAAATGAAATGTATTTCTCTGAGTTCTTGTGTTCCTTTAAATAATTTTATAAAGCATTCAAATTTGGCAATAATTTTGTAACTTTGTTTTCAGTAAATATAGTATTGTTCTTCTTTGCAAAAATACATATGTTGCTACTATTTATTTTCATCTTGTAAAGTGGTGAATCAGTTCGTAAAATTCTATGAATAATTCTACATTGGAACCAGCAAAGCTTAGCGCTTCTAGTATATTTTGTACATGAAGTGTGTATTTTTTTCCAGTAAAATGAGCTAATACCAGTCATATTAAGATGGTTTTCTCATGTCTTTGGCAGATATTTGTCTCATTGGCAATCATACCACATCTACATATTTTTATACTTGAGGACTATATTATCCAGAAATCTTCTTCCATGACTCAATTTTGGGACCATTACTATTTTTACTTACATTAATATATGTTGTACTCATTTACTTAATAGTGGTCCATCATGTTTTGTCTTGTCGTTCTAATTGCTGCTTGATGTCAGCTTTCCATCTGTAAAAAAAATATTGATTTTATGACGATTGAGCATTTAAAAAGAAAAATAGTTCCTTATATTTAATTGCAAATATTTTTCATTGTTTTAACAGCGATATATTTAGCAAGGCTGCAGCGTATTAACATATTCATTAATGGTTTAGTGTAATTAAATATCAGCTGTATTTTTACAAGGCTAAGAAACAGGTGTAATGCATGCTGTAATCATTAAATTAAACAATAAACACAAAACATTTATTTGAATGCTAAAAAAGAGTTTTTGTAGTTAATTTAAATTAGAGAGCAAATTTCATTGAGTACATATTTTTGCGTTAATCAACAAATATATTCATGCACCAGGCCAATTCAATGACACAAATATATAAATTTACGTGTGATAGAGGTTATGAGTGTGGAAAAATAAATTCCTTATCACCTATTTTAAGAATTTCGGACTTTTATTCAGTTTGTGAGTTAATCGCTCCGGTTTACACATCAATAACCTCTAGAAAAAATGTGTTTAATCCTATAATAAACTGGACCAAGTCACTCACAAACATATCATAAAAGTGTTTAGGACTTTTATTTGTTTGTGAGTGAATTGGTAGAGTTTATACACCAATAAATTCCTATAAATATATAAATAAAAATAAATATGTAAACAAAGGACATGCTTACATATCTATAATAAGTCAACACAGTATTAGAAATAGGTAAATATGAATAGAGTTATATCCCTTATGCTGTATATTTCATATTGTGTCCAGTGTACAGGGAATTAAATTTGATATCAGAAAAAAAGTTTATTTTTTTTATTTTTTAGTTTAAAACAGTCTAGTTAAAAGAAAACTTTCTGCATTGTCTAACCAAGAGAAGATTACTAGTACATGTATGTGTATGATTGAAATCTATCATTTTATTGAAAACTTTTGATAAATGGTTTCATAATGGTATTGGTTTTGAAGATAGATGATAGAGCTACTAACAAATAAAAGGGCCTTGAATGAAATCTGCAATTGGGGGAAAGGGTTGGTATAAACATAAATCCAGAAATGAACTACTATGTACTTAAGAATTTGAAAGTCTATATTTACTTGAATGTTCCATTTATTTTGGTTTAGAGAAAGTTTCATCAATTCTTTAAATCAAAATACTGGGAAACAGAGGTCAAAATTTTGTTTACCTAAAGAAGAAAAAGTTATGAACTTGAAGAAACTAGCTAGTCCGGAAAATGATGAAATCTTAAAAAAGACAGTATTTTACATAATTATTTATTTGTTTTAGATGAGATAAAATTTCCAATGGTCACCTTGTTAGTTCGTTAGAGATGAAACAACTTACATGTATAATATATGTGATATTATACTGCTTTCTACAAAGGAGGCTGTGTTATATTTTATAAATTGAATTTGAAAATGTTTGTTGTGACTGTTTATTTTTTGTTCGCCTTTATATCTTGGCACTTTGTTGTTAGTTTCTTTAGTTTTGTTTTGTTTCTTTGTTAGTTAATTTCTGTGTCATTTGGTCTCTTGTGGAGAGTTGTCTCATTGGCAATCATACCACATCTTCTTTTTTATACTTAAAATTAATATGGCCTCGAATTTGGTTGAAATAATTATATGAAATATAGTTTCATCAGACCACAATAAACAGACAATGGTACCTACATTGTAAAAAAAGTGAGATTTGCATGTATCTCAACATTTAGATACATGTTGAAATTGTTGTTTATTTGTTGTTGTTTCTTAGCTCAGTGTTAAGAAATAATTGGAAAAAAAATACAAAAAAGAAAAATTTGGGAGCAGTCAGGAGTAGAGTTTGCAAAAGTTTATAAACAAAAGACACTGAAGAATATGCATTTATGACATCTGGCAATCTATAGATTTTATCATTTCAAGTTAAAGACTAGACATGTTTGACTTTCTGACTCCCTTAATTTTGTTTTAATATTAGTATGTTATTTTGAACATTTAAAAATATATTCTCTATTTAATCCTGATCTTTCTTGTTTTAAGCAGCAAAAACAAATTTCTTTGATTAAATTCTGACTTCGGAAACCTTTAAATTATAATCTAACATTCCCCGAACTGTAGACTGTTGTCTGTTTGTATGGTACTTAAATTGGTAAAAATAAAGGCAGTGGCTATTTTGCCGGCACTGATTATCTCAATACAAGCTGGCAAAATAGCATATTTATATAAAAATAGTTATATTTTTTGTTAACACATACATGCAACTCAAAGAACTGACTATTATTTCAAAAGCAAGATATTAATTTAAACATTTTTGATATTTTAAGCTACATGTATGTGATTGACTTTATGTTATATTGTATAATGTCTTATCAAAATAAATTTGCAATGAGATTTTTAACGTGTATTTTTTTTATAACATACTGTTAAAAAATCTTAGAATTAATTCTTATGCACACATGTAGAATTTAATTTGACTGATATTAGAAATTATTTCAGCTACATGTCTAGATTATAGATATGATTTCGTTGCTACAAATGGATGCTCAATATTAATTTTTATCTTGTTAATTATAAATTCCTATTTTCTTCTACTTCTACTTTGTAATGACCGCCTTCAACACGTTGAAGTTTTTGTCACTTGTACTGCGCATTGCTTTGTGAAGACATATATACAGTGAAAAATTTACAAATTTGAAATTAATAACAAAAAAATTGATAATGACATTTTTACATAATGGCAGTGCATATTTTTAACTTATTATTTTTTTAATATTAAGATAAAACTATATACAAATGATGAATTTACTGCATGACTGTAGGTGTCGGTTGAGACTGCTGCTTTGAACAACTCTATAGAGTTGCTCATCACAATACTCAGAGGAAGGCTGTTCCTGTTTTTAATTGTTTGTGGAAAAAATGATTGTTGCCTTATTTGTGTTCTGCAGGATGGAATTTGATATGAGAGTGTGTGCATGTTCCGGGACTGTCTGAGCGGTTGAATTAGTCTGTCTGTTGTTGTGATCGCAATGAGATGATATGTGATTTTATAAAACATGACCAGGCGTGCATCTGTTCTTCTGTGTGCGAGGTCTCTCCATTTTAAGTGATCTATCATGTCACTAACGCTTGAGGTGTTTCTGTGTTGGTTAGTGACAAATCTAGTAGCCCTTTTTTGTACTTTTTCTATTTTGTTTATATCCTCAGTAAAGTATTAAGGGTCCCAGACTGAACAGGCATATTCTAGTGATGGTCTGACTAAAGATTTATATGCCTGTTCCTTTACTGAGGTGTAACTGATAGATGTTTAAAGTTTTTAAGGAATTACATGTATCTCAAATATTGTTGGCTGTTTTCTTATTTAAATACTGGTATATCAGTAATTATTTGATTCTTTTATGTTATCTTTACTATAGTACTTCTGCTGCTTTGTGCTAATTTTAGTTGTTTACCTAATATATATGTGCTTTTAAATTGCCAACCATTTTATTTTTGCTTTTGAGTTTTTATCTCACAAGTGCATGTTTCAGTGTGTGTTGAACTTGTAAGATGCTTAAAGAACTTTTGTGCTGCATGTTTCCATACTGCATGTACTGATATGAACTCTTGCTTTAATTATATGTTTAATTTATGTGTGCATGACTTGATATGTATGTTTTGTTTTATTGTTGCTCTGTCGGTTTTAAAAGCTCTTCAGAGCTTATGTTTGTACTTGTATTGCATATACCGACTCTAAATAAAGCTTTATGTCTTACTGCACATTTTCATAGATCTTTCCAAGTAAATATTACACTTCCATAGGCAAAATAACAAGTTCACTATTAATATATTGCTGGTGCCGGTAAAATAGCCATTTTTATAGAAATATGCTATTTTGCCGGCTTGAATTAAAATTCGACTTAATTAAGAGATATTTTAATCAGTGCCGGCAATATAGGCCAGCATATTTGCTATTTTGCCGGTGCCGGCAAAATAGCCACTGCCAAAAATAAAAAATATCTATATAAATCCTCATTTTTTTTGTAGATCTTTTTTTAATAGTAATGATATTTATATATATTTTTACATGGTATTCAATTCTTCTGTGAAGATATCATTTAAATGTGCTTATGCGTTACATTGTCGATCTTCATTGTAGCAGACGTTCTATCTGACAGCTGTATTCATGACATAAGGAAATTCCTATAGAACTTCCGGAATCCCCTGCGCGACTGACTGCGCAGTAATTAGTTAAAAAAAGTACTAAAATGGAGTCGGTCTCCACCTGTCTATGTATAGAACAAGGTGATTATACATAGCGGGATCCCAGTCTATACGAATACTACACGGTTATCTCCCTTTATATTTGACTAATTTTAGAGTCGACTGTGGGAAGGACTTGCATTTTCGGTAAACAACAAGGCATGCCAAACAACAACATGGAATCGAAAGTTGAATGTAAGCTTCTTTATTACATGTATGACATTGTATCATGTTTGATTGATTTTTTTTTCGCATAATCATTGTTTGCGTTGCATTTGTGATAGAGATCTATTATCAGGCAAACGTCAACAACGTTTGTATCGAAAGAAAAATAGAGGATGTCACTTCTGATACTATCAGACTATTTGACTTAGTTTACTTATTCCCAGGTCAAATGAGTGAAATGCAATATATATATATATATTTCTTTTTGTATATGAATAATTGATCTTCAAACAATGAAACTGTAAAACTTATCTGTTATATTTTTACTTCATTTTCTATGCACCAATGCAATGTAACGTAAAATTACTGAAAATTTATTTCTTTTAAATTGTAAATAAGCCACGCATGCAACGGCACGTAATAGTCAAAGTTGTGACTGAGTGCGGAAATATGAAGATAGATAGATAGATAGATAGACAACTGACCTCATTATTTTTGCAGGTCACCGTGACCAAGGATTTGTATAGTAAGACTTCTTGAATGTTACATACTCCTAGTGGATTTTTTTATCGGCGATGGTCAATGTGAATGTATTGTTCTTTGAAAATATCCGATATTGACGCTCACAGTTTATTTTCCAGAAATATGCAGCAGCTCAATTTAAACATTTGTTAAAGGAAACACAAGTCGTCAATTAATCATGGATTTTAATCAGTAAATGCATGAACCTGTTTCACATTATATTCTAGCATGTATTGTTCATTTATAATATATAGAATTATGCTATAATTCCTCTAAAAACATCTTCACAATGAAATTAAAATTTGAAGCCACATGCAGGCCACGGCCAGACACTGATTTTTGTTGAGCCCGAGACTTCTGTTGCAGAAAGCTCGACATAGGGATAGTGATCCGGCGGCAGCAGTGTTAGCTAACTACATGTACTTAAAAGCTTTATATTTTAGAAGGTGGAAGACCTAGATGCTTCATACTTGGTATATCACATGTATATAGATGCCTTATGTTATGAAGTTTCTGTCTGTCATATGTCCATTGTCCTTGACCTCATTTTCATGGTTCAGTGACTACTTGAAAAAAAAGTTAAGATTTTTTGTAATGTTAATTTCTCTCTTATTATCAGTAAAAGGATAACTATATTTAGTTTGTGTGTACCTTGCATTGTCCTTGTGCCTGTCAGACAGTTTTCATTTGACCTCGACCTCATTTCATGGATCAGTGAACAAGGTTAAGTTTTTGTGGTCAAGTCAATATCTCGGCTACTATAAGCAATATAGTTCTACTATATTTGGTGTATATTTTGATTGTAAGGAGTACATGTCCAACTGGCAGGTGTTATCTGACCTTGACCTCATTTTCATGGTTACTCAGTGGTTAAAGTTTAGTTTTTGTGTTTGGTCTTTTTATGCCCCCGCTGTAGCGGTTGGGGCATTAAGTTTTACCCTTGTCCGTCTGTATGCAGGTACGAACGTACATCCAAAAATTGGTTTCCGTTCTCTAACTTGAGTTTGCCTCAACCAAATGTTATGAAACTTATACACAATGCTTATTATCACAAAATACAGATCAAGTTTGAATTTTGGTGGCATCATTTTAACCGTTCTAGAGTTATGCCCTTTATAAATGGAAAAATTGCAAAATTTTTAGTTTCTGTTCTCTAACTTAAGTTTGTCTCAACCAAATTTTATGAAACTTATACACAATGCTTATTACCACAAAACACAGATCAAGTTTGAATTTTGGTGGCGTCACTTTAACCGTTCTAGAGTTAACGTTATGCCCTTTGTAAATGGAAAAATTGCAAAATTTTTATTTTCTTCTAAATATCAAGTAATTTTTAAAATTGGAGTTATCTTCCTTTGTCCATGATTATAGTTGAATCAACTACAATCAATGCTTTATACAATGCAATATTTAATTTTGACTTCCACTGATAAAACACAGATCAAGTTGAATTTGGTTAGTGTCACTTTAATCATTATTGAGTTATGCCCCTTTATAAATCGAAAGATGGCAAAATTTTTAGTTTCCATTCTGTAACTTAAGTTTGCCCCAACCAAACATTATGAAACCTATACACAATATTCATTACCACAAAAATAAGATCAAGTACAAATTGTTTGTTTCCGTTTTCTAACTTTAGTTTGCCTCAACCAAATATTATGAAACTTATACACAATGCTTATTACTACATAATACAGATTATGTACGAAATTTGGTGGTGACACTTTTACCATTCTTGAGTTATGTCCCTTTATAAACATAAAAATTGCTGAATTTTTCGTTTCTGTTCTCTAACTTTAGATTGTCTCAACCACATGTTATAAAACTGTATTTGGCATATGGAATGATTGTTAGGTGTATATGTCTGACTGGCATGTATCAACTGACCGTTACCTCATTTTAAGGGTTCATTGCTCAGTGTTAAATTTTTACGTTTTGGTCTGTTTTTCTTAAACTATGAGCAATATGTCAACTATATTTGGTGTATGGAATGATTGTAAGGTGTATATGTCTGTCCGGCAGGTATCATCTGACCTTGACCTCATTTTCATGGTTCATTGGTAAATGTTAAGTGTTCATGGTTAAGTTTGTTCCTTGGATACTATAAGCAATATGTCAACAATATTTAATGCATAGATTGATTGTAGGGTGTACATGTCTGTCTGGCATGATTTATCTGACTTTGACCTCATTTTCATGGTTCATTGGTCAATGTTAAGTTTTTTCTGACTAAGTTCATTTCAACGAAACTATAAGCAATAGGTCAACTTTATTTGGTGTATGGAATGATTGTAAGGTGTACATGTATTTCTGGTTTGGTTTATCTGACTTTGACCTCAATTTCTTGGATCATGGTAAGTTTAGAAAAGCGTTCTACTTAGAACTATCAACATAAAATCAATGGTCAGTAAAGAAGGCGAGACATTTCAGCATGTGCACTCTTGTTGAAATATTTTGTAGTTTTCTATTAGCCTGTAATTAAAATTCATACAGGCCAAATAGTAATTTTACAAATCTTGGCTGTGGCCAAGCATGAAAACTGCTTAAATGCAGCAACATTTTCTTTATCATGTTTATGTCAAATGTTCATACTTTTCATTAATAAATACATTGTAACTTTACAGGCTCATATTAACGAGGTCAAACTAGTTGCTGAATACATGAAAAAAAAACTGTAATGTAGGAATTTCTTATTGATCTTATGAAAGAAGTTAATTCAATTCTATATTTCAGAACTATAAAGATAAAGTATACATATTTCAGTTGGTTATTTTTAGTACCAAGATGATTTGTCCAGTCTTACATGCCACATTGAAACATTCTCTGAGAAGTTTTCAGCTGATCAGGTGTTGTTATTGTACAAGTCCAAAGTATTCAGAGAAAAATGGTACAATTGAATTATTAGGAAAGAAATATCAAACTGATCATGTGACAAATATTAGATCAAGCTTAATACCAAAAATTGGAATCAGTTTACATAACATGAAACACCATCCTTTGAATTTATTGAAACAACAAATAGTTGATTACTTTTACGAGAACTTTATAAATCGACAGAAAAATCCTGTGTTTTCTGTATATGACAGTATCAGTCCAGTTGTGACGTTACATCAGAATTTTGATAGTTTATTAGTGCCTGTTGATCACATCAGTCGTAAACCATCTGAGAGTTTTTACCTGAATTCCCAGTACATGTTACGTGCCCATACATCAGCACATCAAAGTGATTTAATAAGAACTGGACTGAATGCCTTCCTTGTATTCGGTGATGTGTATAGAAGGGATACTATTGATTCAAGTCACTATCCAATTTTCCATCAGGCAGAAGGAGTAAGACTTTATAGAGGCCAGGAGGTAAGCAGAACAGCACTTGAACTTGCCACTCTATGTTAGAACATACATTGCAGAAAAGTACTGATTTTAGAAAATTTGAATTAGAAAATTCTGTCTGTCACCATTTTATAATTTTTTTTGTAAAATTCACTTGAAAAATGTTGTATAAATTTCTAATTCTTTTCATTATGTTCACTTTTGGAGTGAAGTATTTGAATTAAGATACAGTAATTAAGGTTAAGGTAAGTGTAAGACATGCATCAAGTCAACAAAAAAATCAATATTTATTACTAATATATATATGTAATGATATTATTAATTTGTATATTTTGACTTATTTCATTCGTTCAGGAATAGTCACATGTAAATCTATATTTTCAAAAGTACATTGTAAACACAGATATAAAAGTGATATTGCACGGTTATTTTTAGAATATCTAAAAACCAATATACTTTGCTCAGGGGGGCCACTTCCTATCTACAAGTTGATAGGACGTGCCGATGGAAAAGGTAACATAAGAAATCTTAATTTAGCCTCTAATATTCCATTTTTCAACACACTACACGAAACCCAACCAATATGTGAAAAGGGTACATTTTTACCTAAGTAATATATAGGTATATTATACATTGTTAAGATATTATTTGTATGAAAAGTGTGGGGTAAAAGAACCCCAGCGGCACCCCCTATCAATTAAGTATTGAAGTGGCCCCCCTTCCCGAGATACTTTGTAACATCATCTAATGAATTTCATGATATTGTTAAAAGTTTTTAAAAAGTGTATATTTATGGTCGATTATTTGAAAAACAAATCTTCAAATACATAAGATGTACCCAAAAAAACATAAATTTTAATTGAAATAACAACTAATATGTTGTTATTGTCAAAGAGACAATATGATATCTTTAAAATTCCAACAAATGTTCTGATACAAACATGGTAGGAAATTAATAATATAACAATTATAGCTTTTGTATGAGGTCAATACAGGATATATCGACCCAAAGAAGGATATTGATCTCTGACTTCATTCTCAATCAATATACTTCATTCAGGTGAATGTATCCTTGTATTGACCTCATTCAAAGGCGATAATTGTATAATATTAAAATGCCACTGCCTGCATGAATCATTGTTAGCTGTAAGTACTAGAAGATTCATATGCTTGGAAACACAACATACTTCTGCCTGTGTGTGTGCAGGTGGCAGGTGTCAACCTTTCAAATATTTGGCTTTGTACGTTCCTGATGAAGGTTAATCCAGAAAAGCACTTCGAACGTAAGAAATCAATAACGTGTTGTTTTCAATTTTTGATTTGTCAATGTCATCTTTGTAATTTTTTTAGCTTTATAATGGTGTTTGGGTCAAACAAATGGTTTTTGCACTTCATTGGAGGTTAGCACATGATTGTCTTAAGTCTTCACACCCTATCTTAATTGAACAATTTTAACTTGTAGCTTTTTTCCAAAATGAACATCACTGGTGATTACCAGATATTTGAAAATGGTGAAAAAAATGAAACCAAACAGCCATTACACACTAAAGAAGCTGTGATGATCCTGGAACATGAATTAAAATCAACTTTAGAAAGTCTTGCTTTTGAGTTGTTTGGAAAAGGTTTGTGTATAGTAATATGTAAAGAGTTGCATTATTATGTTTTATCTGCATAAAAAGGAGACATTAAATTTGCAGAAATGATGATGCACAATGTAAATTACTTTTAATATGAGAATATAGCAAATTAATCTAATTCCAAGATAAATCCGTAATGAGATATTATAAATTACCTTATCAGTTGCAGATCTAATTCTTATTACTTTTTATGAACAACACAGATGGATTATAATGAAAACATTTTGCTAAATTATGCTATCATGAAAATATCAGCTGAAACTGGTGGACTTTTGTATTTTTTTATCAGAAATTACACAATTTCAAAAGCAGACTTTTTATAAGAGAAAATTTAAAAAAAAAAGGAAAAATTGATGCATGAAACATTAACTGTTTTTCTGAAATACATTTTGTTATTGTTTTCCATGTTTTAAATTTTCTACAGTGTGAATAATATAAGAATAAGGAGATGTGGTATGATTGCCAATGAAACAACTATCCACCCAAGTTCAAATGAAGTGGATGTAAACAATTATAGGCAACCGTACATCCTTCAACAATGAGAAAAACCTATACCGTATGGTCAGCTATAATAAGTCAATTACTAGCAGGGTATTTCCAGCCAACAATGATATATCATTATCACACTTGATTTTATTACTGCATTATTATTTCCCAGTAAAGATCATATAGATATAAGAAGATGTGGTATGAGTGCCAAAGAGACTCTTCATCCAAGTCACAATTTGTAAAAAGTAAACCATTATAGGTCAAAGTTCAGCCTTCAACGCAGAGCCTTGGCTCACACAGAACAGCAAGCTATAAAGGGCCCCAAAAATGACTAATGTGAAACCATTCAAACAGGAGAACCAACGATCTAATCTATATAAAAAACGACAAACAAGAAACACTTATGAACCACATCATCAAACGACAACCACTGAACAACGGGTTCCTGACTTATGACAGGTGCAAACAAATGTAGCGGGTTTAAATGTTTTGACAGGCGCCAACCTTCACCCTAACCTGAATGTAACATCACACAACGTAGAAAGACACACTATAAAATATCAATTGAAATGGCTTAACTCAATCAAAAGACATATTAACATGCATTTTTGTATTTCTTCAAACGATAAATACAAATACTTTTTTTTTGGCAAACCGCTTTGGTTCTTTCTCAAGAAGTGAGCCACAAAACAGAATATCAGATCAAGATAAGGCATTATATAATTACACTTATTGATACTCATTAATTATGATTTAATTATTATAGTGTATATTTTAGATGTTGAAACACAATGGGTTGATGCATATTTCCCGTTTACCCATCCATCATGGGAACTAGAGATTAAATTCCAAGGAGAATGGTTAGAAGTGTTGGGTTGTGGCATTATGGAACAGGAACTTTTAACTGCAGGTATATAACAAAATACAGTGTTCTCTAAAGTTTGAAATCTTTGCATGACATCTGCTCCGCTAAAGGAAAAATTTTGCCTGACCGAAATATAGTTCACCTGGCAGATATTATATGTATGAAGTACGAATAGAAAAATTGTTAAACCCATTTTTTTTTTAAATTTGTAGTTCACAATATAGATTTTTTTAAATGATGATTATTAGTAAAGAATGTATGGAGCATTTTTAAAGGCAGTGCTTTAATGCCTTTCTGGTTGCCGGGTTAATCCTTCCTTCCGCGATATCCAACTTATCTACGTGGGGGGTCATTAGGCTCCAAGTAGATCCGGAAATGTTGAATTCTCTCCTCTTCTTATTGTGATATAAAATGTTTTTTGTATCATTTCATTTACATTGGGAAATAGAGAAATGATCGTTGTGTTTTGTTAGTTTTAAAAACTTTTGATATACTTGTATTTTGCATTATAAGCAGTCAACCGATTGACAAACTAGAATTATTTGAATTCCGTGTGGAAAGAGCTCGGGTTAATTTCGAGTGTTATCTGCAATCTAGATGTTTATAAATCATTTCAGTCGTTGATATAATAATTAAAGGTCGACTGAACATGAATTATATTATACAATTTAAAGCGCATTTCTGTTTATGCACGTGAACCCGTCTAACGTTATTGTTATTTCGCAGTTATATAAAGTAGCAAATTATCGTTCCTGAATAGGTGGCGCCGTGGTAGCCGATCCTGTTCCTCAACTTCCGGTTTGTGCACTGTGCAACTATTACAGTGACATTTTTAATTAACGATGCCAAGTACTTGTTGTTGTGTACCTGGGTGTCATTTAAGAAGAGGACATGCATTTCCAAATGACTTAAAAAGAAGGAACAGTTGGATCAACGCCATGGCCCATACGCAGATTGGACGAGATCACGATGAAATCGTGGAGTCCATCTCAATCAGCTGTTGTTTGCAAGGCACATTTTACTGAAAAAGACTACGTGCAGGAAACTATTCATGGTAAAACTCTATTTTCTTTTTGAAATATATAGTTATATATGTAATCGCCATGCGAATAAACCAAAGTCTGTTTACAACCGCAATTATTGTTTTACAATAAAAGCCTAAAAAGGGGGTGGTTAAATTATTCAAGACGTCATAATTTTTTGGATTACGATTCAATGTGATCTGTTTGAGATTTTTTGGTGATTGCTACAATTATAATGATTTCTTATAGGAGGTATATCATACTGAGAATTATTTTAGCAGTAATTATGCTAATGTAGTAATGACAGGAATGCATAAGCTATGCCTCATAGGCTTACTTGAAAAATATCAATGACAATGTTAACAGGAACAAAAACATTCTTTTATTCTTCCCATTGTGTTTTCCTTGGTTGCCATGTTGGATGTACACACTAATATTTAATGCGATCTTTATGAACTTACCTGCTTTCTATAAATCATTTTTATACGCCCGTCAAATTTTTGACGGGACGTATTATGTTATACAAATGTCCGGCGTCCGTCCGTCTGTCTGTCCGTCTGTCTGTCCGGCGTCAACATGTTGCACCTTAACTTGAGAATGACTTATCCAAATTTCATGAAACTTAACATAGTTGTTTCTTATGATGGTCAAACGATCTGTATACTTTTTGGTGAAAATAAGATTAAAACTTTTTGAGTTACGGGACTTAGTAACTAAAACAGGTGTGTGTTTTTTTTCACATGTCGTGCCATATCTCATAAACAATTTATGATTATTGCTTAAAACTTTACACACTTCTTAGTTATATTAATCTTGAGATCTGTATACTTTTTGGTGATGATTCAAAATTTTATTTTAGAGATATTGAGTATTTTGTTAAAAAAGGGGGAGGGGTTTTTCACATGTCGCACCGTATCTCAAAAACAGTTTATGATTATTGCTTAAAACTTTACCAACTTCTTAGTTATATTAACCTTAAGATCTGTATACTTTTTGGTGATGATTCAAAATTTTATTTTTGAGTTATTGATTATTTTGTAAAAAAAGGGGGAGGGGTTTTTCACATGTCGCGCCGTATCTCTAAAACGATTTATGATTATTGCTTAAAATTTTACACACTTCTTAGTTATATTAATCTAAAGATTTGTATACTTTTTGGTTTTGATTCAAAATTTTATTTTTGAGATATTGATTTTTTTTTTTTTTTTTTTAAAGGGGGGGGGGTTTTCACATGTCGCACTGTATCTCAAAAACGATTTATGATTATTGCTTAAAATTTTACACACTTCTTAGTTATATTAATCTAAAGATCTGTATGCTTTTTGGTTTTGATTCAAAATTTTATTTTAGAGATATTGAGTTTTTTGTTAAAAAAAAGGGGGTTTTCGCATGTCACGCCATATGTCAGAAACTATTTATGCTTATTGCATAAAAATTCACACACAAGACGAAGGACGTATCATGCGCTCATGGCGCAGCTGTTTATTAAGTTATAAAATACACTTATAATACAATAATATTTAATTATCAATGTTTAAATGTCACCAATATGTGCTAATATTAAAATTTCAAGTGTTATTCGGTGATTACAATTTTTATTTGGATAATAACGGTGTTATTCGGTCATTTGTGTTACCCAAACAATGACATGCTCTCGTCTATATTATAGTTATTTAGGTACAAACAATGTACGCTTGTTGCATAAGTCTCTCATTGTTTGTCCTTTGGATTTACATAACATACATTGAATCAGGCAAACATAGTTTTATCCAGTTTGTAATGAATAAATCTAGTTAATATTTTGCCAGGTAGTACAAAGTATACATTGCTAATGGAAGTTCATTTGATTATCAAAAAACTAATGTTTTATAACCTTTTTTCAGGGCGCAAATCCACCATACAGAGACTTAAGTCTACTGCCATTCCCAGCCTATTTTCCTGGACCAAGCAAAAGACTGAACCGTCCGCAAAAAGAAAAATCGGGGCAGTTTCCTGTGAAAACAAAAGAACTAAACTTGATGAATATTGTAGTAGAAATCTAGAGGAAAGTTTTGATTGTAAAGTTGGTTTTCCTGAAGAAGTCATTCATACTGCAGAAAGGATTTATGACTGTCCACCACCAACTGTCGAGCTAATGTTGAGCTTCACAGATGGAATTTCACAAAGACCATCAATGCCTATGTTTTCAGCAGAGAATTTTGAAATGAAGACATGTGACACAGCCATGCATTTTTATACCGGTTTAGAGTTGTATACTAAATTTTTATTTGTTTTGACCACACTTGGTCCAGCAGCACATTGTTTGAGATACATATATTTTCAAATTGATAGGGTGTCAGTTGAAAATCAGTTTTTTTATGACTTTGATGAAATTGAGGCATTATACAACCAACTTTGAACTGTCTAGATTCTAGATTGAGTCTAGTGTTAAGAATATTGTGTATACATGGATTGTTTTTATGTCTAAACAGTGGTGTGAGGCTAACACTTGGCCATCTAGTGGTTTAGTCAGGTATTTTTCGCCATCCAACTTCAAATTAAAGTTTCCTACAACTTGGATTATTATTGACAGCACAGAATATCCCGTGATAAAACCTAAAGCTCCTAGAGCTCAGGCAACCTTTTCATCATATAAAAACAGAAACACTGAAAATACTTGTACATTTTGTATGTTCGACACCTGGTGGTTTAGTCAACTATGTCTCTAATGCATATGTTGGTTGTACCAGTGACTGTGAAATAGTTGAAAGATGTAGAATAGTTCAATTATGTGATCCAGGTGACAGTGTGATGGCAGACAAAGGTTTAAATGTGCAAGATTTGTTTGTTAACTTTTTTCAAAAAAAGAAACAGAATTAGTTCCAAAACTCTTATACAGGATTGAAAAGTCTCCACTTAACACATGCACATAGAGCGAATTATTGGACTTGGCAAAACATACATGTACAAAATTCTAATAAATCCTATGAATAGAACTGAAACAAAACTTTCATCTGAAATAACATTTAGTTGTATTATGTTGTGTAATTTTAGAACTTGTATTGTGCCAAATGATGCGTAAATAAAAGTGACGCAATGAATTTTGTTCTGATATATATATATATTTACAATTACATGCACATGTAAATTGTAATGCATATAGAAATAAGGAGATGTGGTATGATATTCAGTGAGTTTATCGAACCAAAGTGTATAAGAAATGGGTTTAAGCAGTTACAGGTGTAACTGTCACCCTGCAATCTCCAACAATGAGAAAAACTCGTACCGTGTAAAAAATTTCAGAGATCTTACAACTAAGTTTTGTTGTCTCACCTTGACTTTGGTGAATTGTTTATATCTGTTGATGTACATATAAAAAAGAAGATGTGGTATGATTGCCAATGAGACAACTCTCCACAAGAGACCATATGACACAGAAATTAACAGCTAAAGGTCACAGTACGGCCTTCAACAATGAGCAAAGCCCATACCGCACAGTGAGCTATAAAAGGCCCCGAAATGACAAAGTAAAACAATTCAAACAAGAAAACTAACGGCCTAATTTATGTACAAAAAATGAACGAATAACAAATATGCAACACATTTATAAACAAACATCAACCACTGAATTACAGGCTCCTGACTTGGGACGGGCACATACATGTACATACAGAATGTGGCGGGGTTAAACATGTTAGCGGGATCCCAACCCTCCCCCTAACCTGGGACAGTGGTGTAACAGTACAATATAAGAACGAACTATAAAAATCAGTTGAAAGAGGCTTAACTCATCAGATGGATAAATACAAATACAAGTGGCCATGGCCGGGAAGTTGTACATCCAAACAACAAAAAGACACTAAGTACAGATCTGAGAGTACTCGCATTTACTGAGAGCTAGTTCAAATCCACTAACAACTGATAAAAAAATCTTGCATCTAAGACTAAATTATCAATCCGTAAGCTCCCTTTAGAATTTTATAAATTTTAGATTTTACATTTCTGAGTTGTGGGGTTTTATTCATTAAAAAAGGGGGGATTTTCCAGTTTTTGGACAACAACTCAAAAATGCTTTAAGCAGTTCATTGTCGTTGTAAACTATTTCAAAAATCTTCTCCTCTGAAACTACCGGGCCAAATACCTTCAAACTTTAACTAAATGTTCCTTAGGGTATATAGTTTATAAATTATATCCGAAGTTTTGCTCCATCAACAAACATGGCCACCATGGCTAAAAATAGAACATAGGGGTCAAATGCAGTTTTTGGCTTATATCTTAAAAACTAAAGCTTTTAGAGCAAATCTGACACGGGGTAAAATTGTTCAATTGGTCAAGATCTATCAGCCCTGAAATTTTCAGACGAATCGAACAACCCATTGTTGGGTTGCTGCCACTAAATTGGTAGTTTTAAGGAAATTTTGCAGTTTTTTGTTATCTTGAATATTATTATAGATAGATATAAACTGTAAACAGCAATAATGTTCAGCAAAGTAAGATCTACAAAAAAGTTAATAAGACCATAATTGTCAAGTGACCCCTTAAGGAGTTATTGCCCTTTAAAGACAATTTTACACAATTTGTTCATCAAGTTTGCTAACATTAAAAAATCTTCTCCTCTGATATACAGGTGAGCAATTCAGGCTCTTGAGAGCCTCTTGTTTCATTCATAAATTACTTTATACTTGGAAATATAATTTTGCTTGGAGTTATAGTTTCTAAAAAAAGTATTGTTATTGAAAGAGTTGACATGTTGCAATGTACATTTATTCTACATAGTACTATGGTACCAAATCAAAAGTTTATATAAAAGAAAGAAGTCAAAGGTTTCCCATCATAGTTTAGTTACATATATTTTTTTTGTACCTGAGGTCGTTGAATATAGATCATTATATAAATAAGGAGATGTGTTATGATTGCCAATGAAACAACTATCATCCATACTTACCAGTAACAAACCACATTTGCAAAGTCGAATAAAATACAGTTGATAACATTTACTTATTACTAAAAAGAAAATGCCTAACTATTTTAAACAGTATTTGACTATAAACATAGATAAAAAAAGGTACAAACTGGACATAATGCACTAGTTCATAAACAAGTGAGAACAATCGCTTTCATATAGTGCTCAGAATATGACATTCATAAAACTTGTTCAATATCATTAGAGAACTCTAAATCTTAAATACTGAAAGCCACCTCTGATAAGTACACTGTACTATGCAAGATAATGATATAACTGGACTAAAAATACACACAACCTGTAATTAACTGCCTTTACAGCGCTTTGGCGCTTTGATTTAGAGCTTGTGGTTACACTAATTAAATACTATTGCTGCAGACATTTCCCATCAAAGGATACTTATATATAAAGTAGATAGGATTGTCTCCCTTACCCTTACAATTTTTTACTTTTATCCACGTACATCTGCAAGTTTGAAAGGAATAAAAAAGATTGAAATGAAATAAAAATAATACAGCTGTTTAAGCTCAACCTATCCACCTGTCATATTATGAACTTCAAATCCCTGATCACTATTTTCTTAAAAAAAGCAATTAGTGATTTTATATACCTTATGTCAGAATTACCTTCATTTTTCAAAAGTTACCAAGATAATTAGTCACTCTTCACTTAATCATCAAAAGAGTATTCTATTATTGTATTAACTCATCTTAAAGAGGCATTTAGTGTAATTGTTGAACTTTCTCTTCAATGTTAAAGTCATATGAAACTTCGAGTTTAAAAAAAAAATTGAATATGTTTTATATACTTGGATGATTAAGTTTTACTATAAAATTAGTATACGTGAACTTTCTTGTAAAAGAAAATCCTTTTTATTATCAAAATCTGCACAAATGTACTACTATTGAATTATTGTCTTCCCGTACTCTTATTGGCTGATATTTTCCTGTATGCAGTGACCTTATCTAGGAGACCTCTCGTTAGAACTTCCGCCACCACACAGTGCAAGTGCGAGGGGAAAACTGTGATGAAAGAAAGTAAACGAACATGTACTTGAAGGGAAAAAGTAATAACTGATTATTAAAGAAAAATTTTAATACACCAAGATACTCGTTTCATATGACTTTAAGACCATAGTGTATTTCAGAGGGAAATATTGAAACTTAATCTGTGTGGTGGGGAAGAGGATTGGTTGACTTTTTCCTTATTATCAGAAATGTTTGCCTAAAAGGGGGGTCTTGATGATGATAAATGAGATAATGGTACCAAATAAGTCACATATTATTTTCAATCCTATAGAGACCTTATTATCTGCCTCTGTTTTATTTAATACATGTAAAAATGTACTACATTTATCATCTGTTATTACTGGCTTTTGTAGCTGGTGCAGGAGATCAGATAGGATGGGCCTTTGGTTTAGGATTAGAACGTTTAGCAATGAGATTATACAGTATTCCAGATATAAGACAGTTTTGGAGATACAATGACTCTGGATTTATGTCACAGTTTGCTGTAAAAGATACTAGTACGCCAATTAAATATAAGGTAAATATAGGACAATATCAGAAGCAAATAATGGATGATATGGATGGTTTGGTTTTAAACATCAAACATCACATGACTATCAGGAGGAGAACATGCTGATGTTATATGAATTTTATGCACCTGTCCTTAGTCAGGAGCCTGTTGTTCAGTGGTTTTCATTTGTTGGTGTGGTTCATAAGTGTTTCTCGTTTCTCGCTTTTTATATAGATTAGACCGTTGGCTTTCCTGAATTGTTTCACACTAGTAATTTTGGGGCCTTTATAGTTTGCTGTTCGGTGTGAGCCAATGCTCCTTGTTGAAGGCTGTACTTTGACCTATAACTGTTAACTTTGTATACATTGTACTTAGGACAGGTGCATAAAAATGCAGCAGGTCTAAACGTTTTAACAGGCACCAACCTTCACCCTAACCTGATGCAGTAGTGTAACATGCCTGAATAACTTCTACAAGTAAATATTACTTACAAGTTCAAGTATATCAAATTTAGTTTTTTAAATATTACTCCTGACTTTCAGTCCAGTGATTAACAAGAGGAAGGGTTAAATCCTCAAAAACTAATTTAACCCCAGTAACTGATTGTCTTAATTTTTGCACCTAGTTCATACCTGTCAACCTATGAAAATGAAAATGCTCGTCATGATCTGCATTGAAGAAGAAAATCTTAGGTCATAGAGTGTAAGAACTTTTTTTCAGCTGAATTTAAGTATTTAGGTTTAGGAGACATTTTTTTTTAAATTTTACAGTTTCCACAAATGTTCACATTGTTAAGTATTAAATGAAAATAATTCAAACTATTTTTTATTATTTCAATGCACTTATAAGCCATGGAAAGATTAATGATACAGGTACAAGATATTTATTAACCAATCATGGTGCCCAAAATTTGAGCTATACAATCAAATGAATTTCAAAATAAAGTACAGTAAATTATTAGAATGATTAGAATGATTTAAATAGATATAAGAAGATGTGGTATGAGTGCCAATTAGACAACTCTCCATCCAAGTCACAATTTATAAAAGTAAACCATTGTAGTTCAAAGCATGGTCTTCAACATGGAATCTTGGCTCACACTGCACAGCTAGCTATAAAGGGCCCCAAAAATTACTAGTGTAAAACCATTCAAACGGGAAAACCAACGGTCTAATCTATATAAAAAACGAGAAACTAGAAACACTTATGAACCACATCAACAAACGACAACTACTGAACATCAGATTCCTGACTTAGGACAGGTGCAAACAATTGCAGCGGGTTTAAACGTTTTAATGGTACCAAACCTTCACCCTTATCTGAAACAATAGTGTAACATCACAACATAGAAAAACACACTATAAAATATCAATTGAAACTGCTTAACTCAATCAAAAGACATATTAACACCAGTGAACATACACTGAACATAGAGAATGTTTTACTTTTTTAAATATATGGTTTTGTTTTGACTGGTTTATAAATAGATAGTGTAAGTCTAGGAATTTAAATATATTGTTAATGTTTCATATCCAAGATTCCTGGTTAGGTTTGTTCATAGAAAGGGATAGATTTATGGCCTCCCATAGGATTATATTTGAAGGTTCATTTTTTTTCATAAGATGAATCCAATGTTTTATCATATTATACAAGCATCAAGTATGTTTACCTTCACATACCTTTTACCTTTCCTTTTTTCATCACCAGTTTCATTGAAGTATAACCCTAATCACTTTTAAATTTATTTTTAAACTCATTAAACATGCTTATATAATATTGAACTCTTTGTTTTTCAGGAAGTCAGTAGCTATCCACAGAGAACATACAACATGTCTTTCTGGCTAACAGACGGATATAGCGAGAATGATTTTTACGATTTAGTGCGGAATGTGGGGGGTGATGTAGTAGAACAAGTTCGTCTTACTGACAATTTTTATCATCCTAAGAAGAAGAGACATTCACATTGTTATGAAATAGTATATAGAGACATGAGTAAGACCCTGTCAAAAGAGGAGGCAAATATAATACATAAACAAATAGGTGAGGCAGCAAGCAAGGAACTTGGGGTTGAGAATAGATGGAATTTATAATACATATTATATGGTATAAGAAATCTCATGAAATGCTGAATTTTGTTGATTCTTCTAAATAACTATATTTTGAAAAAGGATAAAAAGTTAACTTGAATTGAATTAAAAGACCTCATATAGGTGTGGCAAAAAGGAGTCGTGTTTGGTTTACCCCAATTGCCCAAATACCTGTATATATTTATACAGTTGAAATCCTGCTTATGAATAATATAACTGACTGATGCAAAATACTGTTCTCATTAAATTCCTGCAGGTAAATAAAATTAAAGTAAAGTCTTGACCAATTTATGATACTTATTTACTGATTGCTAAATGTTTTTGTTTAGACATTAAACTATTACACTCCTTGGAATCAGATATGTCAAGGAAAGCATGAAAACATTTATATATTAAACCATTTGAGAAATGTACTCTCTCTCTCTCTCTCTCTCTCTCTCTCTGTTCTCTCTTTATATATAAGAAGGCACCATCTGAACATAACCATCTGTGTGTGTGGTAGGTAAATTTTTCAAGTTAAAGAATCTTTCTCTTTAAGTTACGATATATATTGACATGGTATAATTCTGACTTTTTCAAAAAATGCATCTGTGTTAACTTTAATCTATCATCAAAATAAATTAAGTGAAGTTTGAAGGTTGTTTTCACTTAAGGTATCCTGATGTTGAAATTATAGACGTTTTTTTCCAAAACCAATCATCAGAAGAAATAAAAAAAATGACTAAATGAGGATATGGCTTACATTTTTAAGCAGTTAAGCTGCTTTATGCGAGCACCCTAGATTTGTGTTCTACCCAATAAATGCTGAAATATGTGCCACTGTTATTATCTGGCTGGCTATTATGTTATTTATAACTAATTGAACACTTTTTTCATACTTTTTATTCTGGAATACAAAAAATATGACCAGAAAAACCTTAAATGATCGTCGAACCACCCAAAAGTTTTGAAGTTGCACATAGAAAGTAGTGCTCGCTTGAAACCCTTATGTAGATTATTATCCCCTGTGCTTTTGGCTAAGATGTCAAAGAACAATTGTATGAAATATTTAATCGCCGAAAATCTCTAATTACAAGTCGTTTACATTTGCCAAATTGCAAAAAGCGCAGGAATATTGTATAACGGCTGTGACTAATATGACACGGTGTTAAGTCTCAGTTGGCGGTAATTTTAACTTCGTCGACAAAACGTAAATCAAGGACGTTCTAAATTTGGTGGATTCAGATAATACGAAGGTAATTAATATTAATCATTTTATTCGTTTTTGTCTGAGATGATTGTGATTATTTAAATCATCTTAATTAAATGTATGCTCATTTGTTTTCTTGTTAACACTATTCCGTTTATCTCGTAAATGAGCTTAATGCTTGTCAAATCAAGTTGTTGTTATTGTTATTGAATGAAATAAAACTAGAGATCTGATTGGTCGATGTCAAGGTCATTTCAAGATGGTTTCCATTGTGTTTTTAGTTCAGGCTTTGGTGTTACAGACTGCTACACGTGCTTTGATTTAGCTCAATGTGCTTCAAATAATATTGAGATTAAAACTTAAACAATTATTTTCTAAAGGAACTTCCAAAGTCGCATATTTATGTAAAATATTAAGTCCGAATTTGTGACGCGTCTCACCGTAATTGTTTTTGATTTACAAGGACTTTTCGATTTCCTATATTGAAAAATACAACTTTTTCGATGTTTCTTAGTATGAATTTTTTCATATTTAAACACTCATGAAGTGTTCTAGAATCATTTCATGAAAATACTGCAAAAAGAAATCGCATGATAAGAACAGAAGGTAACGTTAACGTTGTCAACAAGTTGAAGTTACAAACATTTTTTTTCTTAATTCCTATTACAGTTATTTAAATGTCAAATAAATGGTTTTTTTTTTTTATTATGATATTAATAATGGAAGACAGTGAAACCGTAATCAAGATATTTTAATTCACTTATAATTTTAAATAAAATTTAGAATAGGGAATGTGTTAAAGAGACAACAACCCGATCAAAGAGCAGACACCAGCCGAAGGTTACCAATGGATCTTCAATGCAGCGAGAAACTCCCACACCCGGAGGCTTGCTTCAGTTGGCCCCTTAACAAACATGTATACTAGTTCAGTGATAATGGACTTCAATCTAAAATCAGAAATATACACAAGAAATTAAAATTAAAAATCATACAACACTAACAAAGGCCAGGGGCTCCTGACTTGGGACCCCAGAGAATATAAACATTAATTATCACAGCATCAATGAAAATGGACAAAGCTAATACGTAAAGATTTTAGACATGAAGTTTTTTTGCTACATTGTATTTGTCAAAATAAGCAATATTATACCTATTTGTATTTGTTTCTGTTTCTGTTTCAGCTTGATTCCAACCTTTGGCAATGGCTAATACTAGAAGAGGCAAGGCATACATGTACATGTACAATACATGATTCTCTGTAGCACCTGGATTATCTACAATATATAATTCCATAACAGCAATTAAACTCTAGACTACTATGATGTTATGTACATGTATATCTACATATATGATCAATGTTGAAGACAGGTTATGCCAGGTCTCATCATGTCGACTAGTCCGACAAGTTTTGGTTCAGCTTTCTGACAGGAATAATTATAAATTTGCCAGCAGTAACAACACATGAATATTAGTTATTATACCCCACGCAACGAGTTGCGGAGGGTGTAATGTTTTTGACCCGTCCGTCCGTCTGTCCGTCCGTCTGTCTGTTCGTCCGTCCGTCCGTCTGTCCGTCCGTCAGTCCTGTTTCTTGTCATCGCAACTCCTCTCAAACCACACAACAGAATTTCACGAAACCTTTTTAGATAATAAGGACAAACTATGTAGTTGTGCATATCGACAGGAAATTACGATTCAATTATTTTTCTAGGAGTTACGCCCCTTTGAACTTATTTACTTTAATGTACTACTGCAACAGTTTGTCATCGCAACTCCTCTCAAACCACACAACAGAATTTCATGAAACCTTTTCAGATAATAAGGACATACTACGTAGATGTGCATATCGACAGGAAATTACGAATTAATTTTTTTCCAGGAGTTACGCCCCTTTGAACTTATTTGCCCAATATACTACTGCAACCTTTTGTCATCGCAACTCCTCTCAAACCACACAATAGAATTTCATGAAACCTTTTCAGATAATAAGGACATACTACGTAGATGTGCATATCGACAGGAAATTACGATTCAATTTTTTTCCAGGAGTTACGCCCCTTTGAACTTATTTGCCCAATATACTACTGCAACCTTTTGTCATCGCAACTCCTCTCAAACCACACAACAGAATTTCATGAAACCTTTTCAGATAATAAGGACATACTACGTAGATGTGCATATCGACAGGAAATTACGATTCAATTTTTTTTCCAGGAGTTACGCCCCTTTGAACATATTTGCCCAATATACTACTGCAACCTTTTGTCATCGCAACTCCTCTCAAACCACACAACAGATTTCATGAAACCTTTTCAGATAATAAGGACATACTACATAGATGTGCATATCGACAGGAAATACGATTCAATTTATTTTCCAGGAGTTACGCCCCTTTGAACTTATTTGCCCAATATACTACTGCAACCTTTTGTCATCGCAACTCCTCTCAAACCACACAACAGAATTTCATGAAACTGTGTAGATAATAAGGACATACTATGTAGATGTGCATATTGACAGGAAATTATGATTCAATTTTTTTTTCTGATACAATTTTTTTTTCTTACACTTATTTTATTTCTCTAATGACAATGTGGGAACGTGGGGTATGTGAGCGTGCTCACTAAGGTTCTTTCATTATTAAGTGCGCCTATCGGTCTAGCAATTTTTATTATTGTGCACTAAGAAGTATGCCTAGTAATCCAAAACATTTTGCATGAAGTTATATAAAGATAGTTGGAATTCATGATATTGATGCATTGTGCAGAAACATGAAATATTTTAGTTTGTACTCTTAACAATCCAAGAGTAGGGTTAAATTGTACCAAGGAGAATTACTTATTACTATAATTACGCAGCAGTATTTTGATTGTGGATTCTTTTCAATTTTATTATTTACTGAATGCATATTTGTCACTTGTTTAATGCCTTGTTCAAACGTAAGTTTAATTTGAATTGAATGCAAACCAATTTCACACAATATTCTTTTTTTTCATTTTGAAGCGAATTCAAATATAATGCGAATCGAATTCACTAATCGCGTTCACACACTCATCTTTTTTTAATTCGAATCTAATTCAAATAAGCTAATTTGCATTATCCAAATCTCATTAGAAATACCTTTTTGGGTTAATTCGATCAAACTTTGGTGTGAACACTTTCCAAATTGTAATTCAAATTAAACTATAATAGATTAATTCATAAATCACATGTGGAGCAGGATCTGCTTACCCTTCCGGAGCACCTGAGATCACCCCCCAGTTTTTGGTGGGGTTCGTGTTGCTTAATTTTTGGTTTTCTATGTTGTGTCATCTGTACTATTATTTGTCTGTTTGTCTTTTTATTTTTGGCCATGGCGTTGTCGGTTTGTTTTCGATCTATGAGTTCGACTGTCCCTCTGGTATCTTTCGTCCCTCTCTTGAATTAAAAGTTAACGTCATTTGGACAGTAAAGCGATTTTGACGCGTATTGCAATTTGAAGTAGAATTTACATTTGGACATTAAACATGTTAAACTTTTCGAATGGGTATTAAACTATAAATTCAAATCAGTTAATGCGAATCGAATTGGAATTATGTGTGAACACAGCATTTATATATCTAAGAAATGAGGAATATAAAATTATTAAAAAAAAGATGGCCAAATATTTGTATTAATTTTGTTGCAATTTTTGTCTTGCCTTGACAGAGTCGAAAAGAGAGACATCTATATATATAGGCATGCTGTTTTGGCGGCATCAACAATGTATTAGTTTGTGATTTTGTGATAAGGTCTAGGTTATGGTAGGTCAATGATATTTGGTAAGCAGTTGTGTAAGCATAGGCACATTTCATTACCATGGAGAATATTTGGCCCCACACCCTTAGTCATGGTCTATTGACTTTGAAACTTTTGCATAGTTTACATATGTATAAGTTTGTGATTAGGTCATTTTAGGGGGAACCAATAGTATTAGGTCAATGCTATTTGGTGTGCAGCTGTATAAACTTTGTCATTTCTAATTTCCATTGATATTATTTGGCCCGCCCCATCAATCATGCTCTCTTTACTTGGAACCTTATGTTACTTTGAAAATTCATTTATTAGCTTTTGATTAGGTTAGTATTAGGGAAACCAATGGTGGTAGGTCAATGATAATTGGCATGCAGGTGTAGAAGCATTAGTATGTCTCATTTCCATAGCGGATATTTGGTCCGTACTCGTCAGTCATATGCATGATCTATTGATTTTGAAACTTTTATTTAGTTTACATGAATTAGTTTGTGATTAGGTATTATGATGATGTCAGTTTAATATTACCAGTAATCTTAAGTCAAAGCTATTTGGTATGCAAACGTATTGGTATTTAAAAGGTTCATTTCCATGGATATTATTTAACCCCACCTCCTCATTATGGTTCATTGACTTAGAAATTGAAGTTGTGTTAAGGTTTGTTTAAAGGGAACGA